TACCTTCAGGCCACCCACACTGTTTGAATATCTCCTGATCTCTACTCATCCTCTCAGCTGATGGACTTTTGTGTCCTACTGTGCTTCATCAGCTTCCTACTAAGGAATCATTTGAAGCTGAAGGTCATGGGTTTAAAGATGTGAGCTTTACTCCTAAGCACTAGAAAAAAGTATATAGTGAAAGGGATGCTAATCCTAGAATAGTACTTGGTTGAACATCTATCCATAGCCTTAAATATTATATAGCTCTTTCATATTATAAGGGAACAGAATTACTTGGGACAAAATTTATAGAGCATCCACCATTTACTCTAGTCGAAACCAGCAAGTGGCCCATTTATGTCATGTCCCGTGCTTCAGAGGAAGGTAAACTCCCCTGATGGTCCCTCCCAATCTGATCTGGGTGAAAATTCATTTTTGGATTGTTCAGAGGCCTATGTGAAATCAGTTTAGTAAGGTTTTAAAATCATAAACAAAACCACCACCAAATGGATTTAAACCCCTTCCCTTGCTTTCTGCCTCCTCTCCACTTCTCAGTAGTGTCATTAGAAAAGCCACAAATTCATAGAAGCAGGAGAATGAACTCCCTCTTAGCTTCATGATTGCCTTTCTAGAAAATGGATGAATCCTATTTGTTGAGCATTGTGGAGGAGCTTGCACTAGCTTTGCCTACTCAAAGCTGTGTGTGAAAGGGAGGGCTTCATTCTCTAGGTCTCTCAATGTTGACAATCTTGTTTTTTACAAAAAGGAAGAAAACAATACCAAATGTTAGTGAAAATGCAATTAGATTTAGTGTCAAATTGCTAAATATTATGAAAGCCTGATTGTGTGAAATAAATGTAGGAGTTAGTCACCCATGCAAATGATTAATGTGCCTTAAGATATTAAAAAAGCTGCAAATTCTGTAAAATAGTTCCATTAAAAAAGTGACTTGAGGGTAAATTTATTTAAATCCAAATAACTACAGTGAACATCTTGATGTTCATTTGGGTGAATTTTCAGGACCTGCTAGGCACAAAACTAAAATTTTTTTTAGCAGTATCCCATAAATAAAAAGTGGGTCATTGTATGGCAGATGGTTGCAAATAAAAATGCAGTTTTTGATATAAGCAGGGTAACCAAAATATTTTCCTAAAGAACCCCAGGATCTTGGCTCCCCTTTTGTAAATGTTTTAATAAATATCAATGTAGATTTTATTGATTAAATATTTTGATTGCAACAGTTAATTGGATATATTTAAAGGCAATGATTGTGCATTACCAAGTAGTGAAATGTATATATTGCTTAAGCTATTGGAATCCTGGGTATTCAAATGGAAATTGTTCTTACAGCTTATGATGTTCTTTAAAGAATTGACCACAAAACAGCATCTGTAATGGATAAACAGAACAATGTACTTAAGACAGAAAATTACATTTAGATATCCCTTTTTGGCTGAACTGACTACATAGACAGTTCTCCCAAAAGTAAAGAAAGCAAAGAACAGACTGGTGTACATTCCTTTGCCCTGTTCACATAGAACTATTCTGGTGCTAGGAACTTTAGGCATGTGAATCTTTGAAAGGGGAGAACTTGTTTCCTAATGCTAGTTCATGGTGTAATAAAAGCTCTAACTTTTTTTGGCCAAAATTTATGTACATGTAATGGGAACTGCATATGATCTGGTGTCTTTCATTTATCTCTTGTGCACAGCTATATGTATTGTGCACTTTAATGTGCCTTCAAAAAAATCTAAATTTAATGATTTTAGTATCCTCTTTCGTGTTTAATTTACTTTGATGTTAACTATATACAACGATGCCAGTTTCCAACATCCCTTTGTGTCCTTTGTCCACTCCTGTCTATTTGGTTTTCTCCTATCTTGCCTCTGTGTGTGGAATGATCTAGTTTGTCTCAGGCCCCATTTTTTTCATTAGTCTTCCATAAAAACCTACTTCTCCATGACATTCACACATGGATGGTGGAGGTGGGGAAAGGAGGATATTTTTTTAAAGTAAGTATCTTAGGTAGGTTTTTTTTTTATCTTCGAGGACATCTTGTGTCTCTTAAGTCTGTCTCCTAGATTATTAGCTTGCTCTTAGTCAAGGACTCTTGATTATTGGTCTTGAATAATGCCAGACATGATCTGCTGTTCATATATAAAAAAATAATTCAATTTGCATACGACTGAGATCAGTGTTCCCTCTAATTTTTGACAGGCTGTGTGCCCCAAAAATTTCTTCTGTGCAAATTTTTGTGCACGTGGTATTTCGACGTGTGTACAGGGTTTAGGATCTGTGTGCCCACGCACACATCTTAGAGGGAACAGTGACAGATTATCTTTCAATTCGCTAGAACTCGGATAAACTTTACCTATTTGCTGTGTTTATCTGGCATTAATGTACAACTACAAATGTTTTCTGGGTCATCACATATGAGGAATATTGCAGTACTTATGAGCTGTTAATGCATACTGTAGAAGTAAAATCTCTACAATGTATCCTGCCATAAAAACACTTCATGTACTATAGAATAAAGTTTGACACATTGTGTGTATTCATTTTGTCTAAAGTTAGCCAGAAGTCAGTTGGACTTTAGATAGAAAAAACTATATACACTTTCATAAAAAAGGCTTTGAAAAGTATTGAAATGTATTCATGTGCTGTTTCTAATATCTTTTCAAATGCCAAGAGATCTTTTTTCATGGTAAAGAACACAAGATCTATTGCTAAAAACCTGGGTTATTTTGGGTTAATTAAAAGGGCTAAAAAGGTTTCTAATGCTCTGCTCCTGTTCAAAACTACTACAATAACTTAAAATATGGAGGCTCACTGAGGCCTGGTCTACACTATGGGGGGAGATCAATCTAAATTACACAACTTCAGCTTCGTGAATAACGTAGCTGAAGTTGATGTATTTAGATCTATTTACCGCAGGGTCCACACTATGCTACGTCGACGGGAGACGCTCTCCTATTGACTCCCCTGGTGCTCCTCATTCAGGTGGAGTACAGGAGTTGATGGGAGAGTGACCTGCGGTCGATTTAGCGGGTCTTCACTAGACCCGCTAAATCGATTGCCAATGCATTGATTGCCATGTGTTGGTCCCCCAGTAAGTGTAGACAAGCCCTTAGAGGAATTGGTGCTGAGTTCTTCCCTCCAAGTGCAAGGATTTGTCCTTTCAAAGAGGGAAGGACCAGTTATTCCCAGCTGCCCCTGAGGTTGCCTTACTTTCTACAGCAGCTTCCCCCTACAGCAGCTTCCTTAAGAGCCTTACTGCCATTGAGTACTCTACATCCTTCCACCATGGCTGCATGCTCTACCTTCTACCCTAAGGAGAGAGGGATGGTAATACCCATACCATTTTTATTAATGTTAACTTCTGCATGGGTTTCTGGTCAGAAACTTGCCATGCCCCAAGAGCTCCTGCCCCTCTCCTACAGTGTAAATTGAAAGTAGCATTGGGTACAAAGTGTGTGTAGGTTTGTTAGTAACAAATTCTCTAAAAACTGAAAAATTGCCTCACCTGACTTAATGGAAAGTAGTAGGAAAATACTGCTCATTGACCAGACTAGTGTATGAAGTTTCAATCTGAAGTGAATTTATATGGCATCTTAAACTTTTTTTTCTTTTAAAGAAAGGCGTTTATAATGGAAAAGGATGACAGCCTTCATCATAGTAGCTTTTTCTGCCAACTCTTCAAGAATTCATGTTTGGTTCTGAATGATCACTAGATAATTTCTGTTCTCTTCTGATGCTGAATTTATGGCTTGCTTGTTAATGAAATACTGTGCCAGCTACATTGCTCCTTTGCTAGCATTGGTAGGGTCAAAAAGTACCCTTTGGCTTAATTTATAAAACAGCACTGTAGAAACTGGTATTTAGTCATGCTCCTGGAGGGATGATTCTGTGTTTGTTTTGCATTCTGTGGATAAACATAACCTACTTATCACTTTCTCTTTACTGTAAGCATTCTAAAACATTTTTTACAATAGCTGAGAATTACCCAGTACAGCCATTCTGTCAAATGAGTGGGATTTTTCCTCTTCAGGATTGCACGTGTATATACAGACATTTGCAAAGAACGCTGCACATACTCTTGTTCTGTTCTGTCAAATAAGATTAAGGCTGTTTGATGTCTGTGGAAAATCAGTAATACCCCAGAGGGGATGAAAAGGGGAGAATGCATGTAAGCAAGGAAAAGCGATTACATATAACTAACTTAAGTATCTGAAAAAAGTTGTGCATTAACAATTCCTTCTGCTGTGTGTGTGTGTGTGTGTGAGTAAGAAAGAAATTCCAGTAATGTAGTTTCCTCATTCTAGGAATTAAATCAATGACATTTGTTGTCATGGGGAGATTGCTAGGGTGTAACCTATTAAATAGGAACACTTTTTCTTACAAACCTAATTCTTTTTTTTCTCTCTTTTCAGGAGAGGAAGGTTGTTGAATCTTTTAAAAAGATATTTTTCTTCTATCCCCTTTCCTCAATCTTCTAAGACTTAGTTAAGCAGTGGAGGGCGTTTTAGTGCCTATCAGTATTGCTCCATATCAGTTGGAGCACTGATTAAACAATAACCTCGATTTTAAATTATACATTTCTCTATATTCTTTAACTTGGAGCATTGCAAGTTACAATGGTATCAGAGAATTCTGTTTGATATCTTGTTGCATGCAGAACTCATCCTCTAAACAAGAGGATTAATTCAGGGTATTTGGGCAATCAAAAATTAAAAAGGTGCCCACTTTTATGAGCAATTTTCCCGCTTTCCCTTGTCTGGTAGGGAAATATCCTCATTTTTCATATGGGAATATTGTGGCACAGAGACGCTCAGTGACATGTCTGAGGTCTCACAGGAAATTGTAAAAGAGCTGGAATTAGAAGACTAGGAATAGAGTAATCCTGTGCTATTAACTACAGAATGCATTATATACATGGTGCTTCCTTACCTTTATAAACAAGCTATATGATGAGTCAGTCAACTGTACTTTATTAATGTCTCTATAAATGTGTTTTTTAGATACCTGTCAATTATCAGGAACTAACATTGCTAACTTCAGTTGCAATACCAAAGAGTCTTCACTCTCCAACTACCTCTATGTCTTCATCCTGGCACAGCTGCTACTGGGAGTTGGAGGAACTCCCCTGTACACCTTGGGCACCGCCTTCATTGATGATAGTGTCCCAAAATACAAATCTTCTCTCTACATAGGTAATATTGTTTTAAAATTTAAATTGGTAGCAAGAGATTGAATGAATACTTTGATATTTATAAAGAAAATGAGTATTTGTGGCACCTTAGAGACTAATACAAAAATTAATTAGTCTGAGGTGCCACAAATACTCATTTTCTTTTTGTGAATACAGACTAACACGGCTGTTACTCTGAAACCTGTCTTTATAAATATTGTAATTTAAAAAATCTGCTAGTAGAAAGTGATAATAAATGTTGTAAACACAACACTTCTCATTAAGGAGTTGAAGTAACAGATTTGCTTGCTGATGACTTGATATAGTAGTCGTTTCTGCAGTGGTTGCTGTAATGGTTGGCATGTAGATGTTTTGGAAACAGACAAGGCTATGCTTATTGTTTCAGCAGGATGGAAATTTGCTGAATAGCTATTTTGTGTGTTTAATAGGGTGGGTCAGGACGAACCCCACAGTATCTTGAACACTTCACCCAACCTCTTATTTTCATATTTCAGAGTAACAGCCGTGTTAGTCTGTCTTCGCAAAAAGAAAAGGAGTACTTGTGGCACCTTAGAGACTAACCAATTTATTTGAGCATACGCTTTCATGAGCTGTAGCTCACTTCATCGGATGCATACTGTGGAAAATACAGATGTTTTTATACACACAAACCATGAAAAAATGGGTGTTTATCACTACAAAAGGTTCTCTCCCCCACCCTACTCTCCTGCTGGTAATAGCTTATCTAAAGTGATCACTCTTACAATGTGTATGATAATCAAGGTGGGCCATTTCCAGCACAAATCCAGGGTTTAACAAGAACGTCTGAGGAACAGTGTGTGTGGGGGGGTGGGAATAAACAAGGGAAAATGTTACGTTTTATAATGAATCAACCATTCCCAGTCTCTATTCAAGCCTAAGTTAATTGTATCCAATTTGCAAATTAATTCCAATTCAGTAGTCTCTTTGGAGTCTGTTTTCGAAGTGTTTTTTTGTTGAAGGATAGTCACTTTGAGATCAGAAATAGAGTGACCAGAGAGATGGAAGTGTTCTCTGACTGGTTTATGAATGTTATAATTCTTGACATCTGATTTGTGTCCATTTATTCTTTTACGTAGAGACTGTTCAGTTTGCCCAATGTTCATGGCAGAGGGGCATTGTTGGCACATGGTGGCATATATCACATTGGTGGATGTGCAGGTGAACAAGCCTCTGATAGTGTGGCTGATGTTATTAGGCCCTGTGATGGTGTCCCCTGAATAGATATGTGGGCACAGTTGGCAACGGGCTTTGTTGCAAGGATAGGTTCCTGGGTTAGTGGTTCTGTTATGTGGTTGCTGGTGAGTATTTGCTTCAGGTTGGGGAGCTGTCTGTAGGCAAGGACTGGCCTGTCTCTCAGGATTTGAGAGAGTGTTGGGTCATCCTTCAGGATAGGTTGTAGATCCCTCATAATGCGTTGGAGGGGTTTTAGTTGGGGGCTGAAGGCTAGTGGCATTTTATTTTCTTTGTTAGGCCTGTCTTGTAGTAGGTGACTTCTGGGAACTCTTCTGGCTCTATCAATCTGTTTCTTCACTTCAGCAGGTGGATATTGTAGTCGTAAGAATGCTGGATAGAGATCTTGTAGGTGTTTGTCTCTGTCTGAGGGGTTGGAGCAAATGCGGTTGTATCGCAGAGCTTGGCTGTAGACAATGGATTGTGTGGTGTGGTCAGGGTGAAAGCTGGAGGCATGTAGGTAGGAATAGCAGTCAGTAGGTTTCCAGTATAGGGTGGTGTTCATGTGACCATAGTTTATTAGCACTATAGTGTCCAGGAAGTGGATCTCTTGTGTGGACTGGTCCAGGCTGAGGTTGATGGTGGGATGGAAATTGTTGAAATCATGGTGGAATTCCTCAAGGGCTTCTTTTCCATGGGTCCAGATGATGATGTCATCAATATAGCGCAAGTAGAGTAGGGGCATTAGGGGACGACCTGAGGAAGTGTTGTTCTAAGTCAGCCATAGAAATGTTGGCATACTGTGGGGCCATGCAGGTACCCATAGCAGTGCTGCTGATTTGAAGGTATACATTGTCCCCAAATGTAAAATAGTTATTGGTAAAGACAGAGTCACAAAGTTCAGCCACCAGGTTAGCCGTGACATTATTGGGGATAGTGTTCTTGATGGCTTGTAGTCCATCTTTGTGTGGAATGTTGGTGTAGAGGGCTTCTACATCCATAGTCATCAGGAAGATCACCGATTGATTGTAGTTTCCTCAGGAAGTCAGTGGTGTCTTGAAGGTAGCTGGGAGTCCTGGTAGCGTAGGGCCTGAGGAGGGAGTCTACATAGCCAGACAATCCTGCTGTCAGGGTGCCAATGCCAGAGATGATGGGGCGCCCAGGATTCCCAGGTTTATGGATCTTGGGTAGCAGATAGAATAACCCAGGTTGGGGTTCCAGGGGTGTCTGTGTGGATTTGTTCTTGTGCTTTTTCAGGGAGTTTGAGCAAATGCTGTAGTTTTTTGGTAACTCTCAGTGGGATCAGAGGGTAATGGCTTGTAGAAAGTGGTGTTGGAGGGCTGCCTAGCAGCCTCTTGTTCATATTCCGACCTATTCGTGATGACAACAGCACCTCCTTTGTCAGCCTTTTTGATTAGGATGTCAGTGTTGTTTCTGAGGCTGTGGATGGCATTGTGTTCTGCACAGCTGAGGTTGTGGGGCAAGTGATGCTGCTTTTTCACAATTTCAGCCTGTGCACGTTGGCAGAAGCACTCTATGTAGAAGTCCAGTCTGTTTCAACCTTCAGGAGGAGTCCACCCAGAATCCTTTTTGTAGTGTTGATAGGGAGGTCTGTGGATTAGTATGTTGGTCAGAGGTGTGTTGGAAATATTCCTTGAGTCGGAGACGTTGAAAAGAGGATTCTAGGTCACCACAGAACTATATCATGTTCGTGGGGTGGAGGGGCAGGGGGAGAGGCCCTGAGATAGGACAGCTGCTTCTGCTGGGCTATTAACAGCAGGAGAGTAGGGTGGGGGGAGAGAGAACCTTTTGTAGTGATAAACACCCTTTTTTTCATGGTTTGTGTATATAAAAACATCTTTTGTATTTTCCACAGTATGCATCCGATGAAGTGAGCTGTAGCTCATGAAGGCTTATGCTCAAATAAATTGGTTAGTCTCTAAGGTGCCACAAGTACTCCTTTTATTTTCATATGTAACCAACTTGAGATGAGAAACTGAGGTTTTAACATTGTATTAAACTGCTTAAGTTTAAACTCTCTTTAGCTAAAGTTGGCATCTGCTCTCAAATAAAAGTCAGGAGCTAAAACTGTTAATTCAGCAGCCACTTCTTACTGTATTGTTTAATGGCTGTATTATGTTCCCCTGTGAGTATTTGGTCAGTGTGGGAAGGATTGCTTCCCCTGAACATAACATTCTACAATTGTTTTTTCAGGTGAACGTTCTATATGGGGATTACGGCAGAGCAGGCCTTTACTTCAGGCATAGAACAAAGATTGTTTATGCACACTTTCAGTATTCACCATCCTCCCTTTTAACTCTCATGTCTAGTGTTCTGTATAGCATTTCTTATGCACCTACTGGTTTTAGTCTCTCTCCAGATAAAGGGCAGCTTTAGCATGGGTTTGTGGTTTCAGCTGCACCTATGGGAAACCAAGGGAGCAAGCATGCACTTTTCTCAGCCCAGTGTGGAAGCGAAGCCCTGGGTAGGGAAGACTGCCGGAGAGCGAGACTGCCCTGCACTCACGCTGCAGTGGCTCCTGTCCCCCGGGGCTGGGCCCAGCTCCCTGCTCTGGGTGTTGCGACCTGGTGCACTGAATTGTAGCACCACTCAGGATTAGCTTGACTCCCCCCCCCCCATTATGAATAAAGAATGGCCAGGCGAAACCTGCGTGGTGCTACGACCTGTACACAAGGCCGTAATGCCACTTGCTCAATTTGGCCCAGCCACCATTCCATCATGCTGGAGGGGTGGGTTGGACCAAACCTGAATGGTGCTATTACCCCATATACAGGGTTGCAATGCCCAGAGCAGGGATCTGGGACCAGCCCTGTGGAACAGGAGCTGCTGCTTCAGGGTGAATGCAGGGTAGGCTCACTCTCCAGACACATTTTCCCTCTGCATCATGCTGGGATTAGGGTTGTGATGCCATGGTGAAGGGTGCTTCTGTGGGTGTTGGTGTCTCCTCAGCAGCTTAGTGTAATCAAGTGACTACCTCTGCTCCAGACTGTACTTTATGACAAGGCAACTCACATTTTCTCTGTACTTCACACTGGCTCAAGCCTTCCTCCACATTTGCCCAAAGAATTCTTTCGTTCACCATATTTTATCTATGCATTCAGCAATCATTTTTCCCCTCAGGTTAAAAAAGCAGTATATTAATTGTGTTGAAAAATTGCCCAAGGTTCCCTTAATAATCTGCTACAGGACAGTTCGTGTAACTCTGTAATTAGATTTAATTAAGGTTTCAGTTCTGTCTCCAAACTTCCATTCAGAATACTTAAATCTATAACCCTTATTCCACTGGCTCTAGGCAAGCCTTTGAAAATTACTTGATTTCCTCAAAACTAATCAGTCAAACTTGTACTGTACCTTGAACTTTAAAGTGAAAGTTCAGAATTGTTGATGATTACATAATTATTCAATAGAATGATTGAGTACTCTAATCCTGTAGATTTGTCAGACCTGTTAGTCTATTGGGCTGCTCATGTGATTAAGGGGGGAAAAATGTGACCCACACTAGAATATTTAACAAATCTCTGTATGGCAGGAAAGTGTTGCAAAAATATTCTAGAGTAGTTTATTTTTAAATCAAAACAAAATGTACCTGCTCGTTAAATCTCATCGCTAGCTCTAAAACCAAATCTAAAGTGCCAACAGTGTGTGTGAAGAGTTGGTGACATGGGTCTAGAAGACTTCAGATTAACATCTGGATTTGTAGAAGAAAAAAAAGTAGCGTCATCTTAAAAAGCAGCCTATTTTAGCACAACAAAACTAGAAGGTAAATGTAACAAATGGCTTAGTAACTAGGTTAATCGTTCCATGTTTGAGCTGATAATTTATTACTCTACACAGGGATGCATTAATTTATTACAGGATGCCTGCAGGATATTTTTGCTATTCCTGACAGATTTAGAGTGTTTTACATTGTGTTTGTTTTTGAATTAAGGCACCTGTTTTTAGTTAAACTTTTGTTCAGCACAAAAAATGCAGGGCACTCAAGCATGATTTTTTAGGTATTTACCAAATTTATTTTAAGAGTTAAGTTACATTCTTTCCTTTCCATTTGCACATTTTAAATGCATACCAAACCAGCAAAACCAAAGTTCAATCTAGTATGAAAAGGAAAGTAACTTGATTTCCGCTGACATTTTAGGATGTAGTCCAGCAGTTATTAGGCAAGTAAAACTCCCCACCCCACATGCTCAGAGTTGAGAGAGTTCCCATTCATGATCATTGGTCCTTAAAATTTTATCCTAAGTCTCCTGGAATTAAGGGTCCTACCAAATTGGGGAGAAATCCTGGCCCAACTGAAGTCAATGGAAGTTTTGCAGCTGACTTCAGTAGGGCCAATATTTCACCCTTGGAATCTAAGGGGATACTCAGTGTTGAATAGTTAAGAAACCCAATCCTATCCCTAACAAATTCAATCCAGAAATTTCAGCCTACAGGGAAGTTGCACAGCTGGGCCAGATCACCAATGCAGCAAAATGGAAAAAATTATACAGATTTTAGCAAAAGTCCTTTCTGTGTAATCAGTCATGAATATCTGGTTGAAAGTTAGTGTCTGTCTCTGTACTCCTGTGCCTATGATACTGATATTGTCGCTATTAGGCCTAAAAAAACTAAGGGTATGCTTATACCGAGTAGAGGAAAAAGTGTGTTAACTCAGGTTAGCTAACTTGGGTAAAATAGCAGTGAAGACAAAGAAAAGGAGTACTTGTGCCACAAGTACTCCTTTTCTTTTTGCGAATACAGACTAACACGGCTGTTACTCTGAAACCAGTGAAGACATAGTAACTTGGAGACATAACAGCCCAAGTTGAAGTATATAGGGATGAACTCAAGCTGCTGACACAAGTTAAAAGAAGAGTTGTTGTGTCTTCACTGCTATTTTAATCAAGTTGACCAACATGGGTTAGCCAACCTGAGTTAAGAAAGCATCTCTTTACGGTATAGACATGCCCTAAGGCAAAATCAAGGAAGCCTGTTGCTTGTTCTTCTCCTCTCTAGCTTTGCAGGGAAAGAGAACCATCTGTATTGCTTCTCTGGGTGGACAAAAGAGCCGTCTTCACTGAGACTAGTTACCCCTGACCCCTCCCCCTCCAATGACTTTGCAAGATGTGTTGAAAACATACAGTGCCATTGCTCTTGAATCAATCAGATCTAAAGGAAACAGGGAGCTGTAGTCTTTACTTTGCTTCAAATGTTTGGGATATTACTACTGACAGAGCTGCTAACACAGACACCTGACTTCTGGTCATGGTAGTTTTAAAAAGTACTTTTGTTTTAGTTCTATAATGCTTTTATTTAGAATTTCCAGGCTACATGTTCTCTTAATTTAAGCACTCAAACAGATTTGGTATTTACTTTAAAACATTTATGTTTAAGGCTAAAAATAGTAGACATGCTACCTAGCATGGCAAGGTTCAAGTGCTTTGAAACACAGAGAGAAGTGGCCATATAATTCAAACACTTAGCTATTTGCTGTGTAATTCTTTCACAGTTGGGATGCAAGCTTTCTATTCCATATAACACAAATCTTTGTAGGCAAAAATGCATGCAGTAATATAAATCTGGTATTGTGTAAAGGCAAACCTACTTTTACAGATTTGAAACTCTTTTGAGGAAGAAGAAAGCCTTTAATAGGTGCATGCAGTGTATTTGTAGCTGTATCGGTCCCAGGATTTTAGAGAGACAAGGTGGATGAAGAAATATCTTTTACTGGATCAGCTTCTGTTGGTGAGAAACTTTTGAGGCACACAGAGCTCTTCTTCAGGTCTAGAAAAGGTACTTGGAGCATCACAGCAAAATGCAAGGTATAACAGATTGTTTAGCATAGACAGCTAGCACATATTGTAAGGGACAATTCAAGGTAGGATGGCCTATTAACACCTCTGCAGTCATAGAACAAAAAGAGAAAGTTAGTAAGGGTATGACTACGCTTACAGATGTAGAGCGCTTTGGGTTAAACCAGCCTTTGTACAGCGCAGTAGGGAAAGCGCTGCAATCTGTCCACACTGACAGCTGACTGCGCAGTGGCGTGGCCACATTTGCAGCACTTGCAGCTGCATTGGGATCAGTGCATTATGGGCAGCTATCCCAGTGTTCAAGTGGCTGCAACATGCTTTTCAAATGGGGAGTGGGTGGGATGGAGCGTGTTGTGTGTATGTGGGGGGGGGAGAGTGGATTTTTGGGGTGCTGAGTGTGCGTCAGCATGCTGTCTTGTAAGTTCAGACCCCTTCCTCCCCCTGACACTCTCACTCAAAGCAAACAGTAACTTTTTTCTGGGACCAGATAAACAGCCCGGTGATTTAAATGCGGATCGGTCTTGCTTTGAGCAGGGGGTTGACTAGATGACCTCCTGAGGTCCCTTCCAACCCTGATATTCTATGAAACAGACCTTTGGAAAGGCACTTACTCATTTCTGAGGATTTCACAGCAATGAGAAGAGAGGCCACTTGATTTAAGGGGATTATGGGAAGTTTCCGGAGGTCAGAGCGCTGTAATGTAACTCCTCATTCACAGTGACGCTGCAGCGTCTCACCCAATATGCAACAAATGTTATCCCTCTCGGAGAGGTGGAGTACCAGCAGCGCTCTAGCCAGGGAGAGAGCTCTCTATGTGCCTTGCCAGTGTGGACTGGGAGTGAGGTAGAGCGCTCTGGGCGGCTTTATTGCGGTATAACGTGCAAGTGTAGCCAAGCCCTAAGTTACAGTGGGGGTCTCATTGTAGTCCTCAACCATGATGACTACATTAATGAGGCCAAAAGACTACTCTTCCATACCACCAAACTGTGAAGAACAGAAAGATGACTCCAACATCACAATTTACCCAGGAATTTAAGGATATCCACTTCTTCCCCAAACTACTCTAAGAGAAACTATACCAACTCATCTCCCACGACCCAACCCAGGGACCTTCTATATGTTTCCCAGCATGCACAAACAAGGGAACCCAGGCAGACCCATCCTATCTGGCCACGACACTCTTACTGAAAGAACATTGGGACTCATAGAAACTATCCTCAAACTACTCATCACACAAGGGCCAGTTTCCTCCAGGACACAACTGTCTTCCTCCACAAACTGCAATATTGACAGCCTCCCTCAGAACACCATCCTCGCCAGCATGGATGCCACTTCCCTTTACACCAGCATGTCTCACAATGATGGCATAGCTGCCTGGCTCAAATATTTACAAGACAATGGACAACCCTCAGATATCTACCTCAAACACATTACCAAACTCATACATTTCATCCTCACCCTTAATAGTTTTACATTCACTAACACACACTTTACCCAAACCATGGGAATAGCCATAGGTGCAGGATGGCTCCCCAATATGCCAACCTCTTCAATGATGAGCTTCAAGAAGAGTTTCTGGATAAGTGCACCATGAAACCAGTCATGTACCTGAGATATATCAATGATCTTTTTATCCTCTGGACAGACTGTTTAAAATCTCCCATAGATTTCCACCAACTTCAACTACCACCATCCATTCAACAAACTTTCTCTAGAATACTCCCACACTAGCATCAACTTCCTGGACACCAAAATCAGCTTCAACAGTGAACCCTACTGACCATCATATACAATTATCCCACAGGTCACCACACCTGCCTTCATTGATCTAATAACCACCCCAAACATTTTTTATCTACACTCAAGCACAGAATATGCTCGGAGGAGAAAGTCTGGGATATACACCTTAACACACTTAAAACCACCTTTACCAGACAAGGACACTATAGAGAAGTAGATTGCATCATGGAATGGGCCACTCAAATACCCAGAAGTTGATCCAATAAAAACCTATTACTTCACCCACCTTGTCTTGTGACTAATAGCTGTAAGAGATCATGTTAAATATATTAATAATATAATTAACAAATGTATATTTTGGTTTCTAAAAATCTTGCATAAATCATTACACTGAAAGTATAAATGTAATTTTTCCTTCCCCTGCAAATGCCATGGAGTCTTTTGTATTTTATTGTGTATATGAACCGTTACTGTTACCTGAAACAGGCTTAATTTATTCTTTAACCTTACATTTTAGAACTGTATGTTCTGCTGAGACATGAAATGAAAAACATTTCATCTTTTTATTTCCCTTTAGGAATTGGCTATGCCATGTCATTGCTGGGTCCTGCCCTTGGCTATGTATTGGGAGGGCAGCTGCTTAATATCTATATTGATGTCCCTCTTCAAACAAGGCAAGACAGTGTTCTTGTTTTCTTCTGTTCAACCAACAGAGTGCTATTTTTATTGATCCCTTGTTCCCAATGGTAATCTACTAAAATATTTGGGTACTTCTTATGGCTTTATTGAGGGTTATGAATTTTGCCATGAGGAGGGAAATAGCTCAGCTCCACTCCATATAATAGCTCTTTCAGAGAACATAAAGGTTGTTTTTGTGGACTTTTTTGAGAAACCCTCTGACCTGTTAGGCAATAATCTAGTCTTCCCTGAGAACTTCCAAGAAAAGAGACCTAAACGCTAACCTTTTCTGCAAGGAAAAGTTACTCCTTCATTATCGGGAGCATGAGTTTAGTTCCATCTTTTGGAGATGGTGGTTACTACTTCTTTTGTTTATCAACCTTAAAATAAGCCCAAACCTGCCTTCTCAGCAAATGAACAGTTTCTGTCCAGAGACTGACTTTAGTGGTAATATGAGGAATGGGATCTTCTTTCATTTCAGGGGTTATGTTGCAGGATTTCCACAGTAATATTAGATACAATAAAAAAATCTATATGGGTTATCATTCCTCAATGATTTAGGACATAAACGACTAACTTCTTGGGATTAGGAAGAAACCTCTCTCCCGGGCATGTCATTGCATAATTTTCCATTTCAGGGGGGATTTCTTTGAAGAATCTGTTACTGAAATGCAGTAGGATACAGGACTAGATGATCATTGAACTGATCCAATATAGCAATTCCTACAATCCTGATTTATCTGAGTTATGGTTGCCGTTTGCTTTTGCATTTTCCTGACTTTGTGACTTCAGTTCTGCAACTTCAACGTGATGGGACTAGTATCTAATTCACATTTGCCTTGTGTAAAAATCCACTGATGGTAAAGACATTCATAATTGTTTTGACATAATTAACATATATTTAGTGATCAGTGATGTGGTGGTGACATTGCACCTTACAAAGACCTGATTTTTTCATTACTCCCTTATTAGTCAGTCCAGTACATTCTGGTTCAAGGGTCTCCATTTTGACCTGATTATATTTATAATATGCTGAGTACTTTGTTATACAAAAAGTAAAAGTGAATTTAATAGGTCTAGAAAAGAATGAGGAAACACCTAGTACTTGGAGGCTCTCTCCTAATGCCATGGGAGAAACTGAGTGCATAGCTTTTAAAGCCACAATAATTTGGGGCAATATTCTATGTGACTATTAAGATGTTTATGTCATTAAATCTGCGTTTTCCAAATATCTTTTCTAGCACAGAGATTGATTCAGATGACCCACGGTGGCTTGGGGCTTGGTGGATAGCATTTCTCTTGTGCTGTTTTGCAACATGGCTTCTGATAGTACCTTTTTCATGTTTTCCAAAGCACTTACCAGGTAAGTATTAACTATCAATCAACTCTTAGGAGGGAGATTGGGCTTGCGGCTAGATCAGTGGAGTGGGAATGGGCACTCTGAGATTCTGTGCCACTCACTTGGCTTACTGTGTGACAGTGGCAGACCTGGCACTGCACCGCCCCTTTGTGGCAGGGGTGGGGGTGGAGTGTCAGAACCTTGCCATGCCCAAATGCACATGCTCGCCTCTCTGTGGGTGGCCCGATGCGGTCTCATGGCCCCCCTCCACACAATCACCCCTTGGTCAGGTAGTGTGCCCTAACGGCTCAAGTCCATATAACTCACTCCCAGCATTGGAGCAGTGTGGCCCAATGGCCAGAGTACATATAACTCCCCCAGCCTCTCCGCAGGCAGGGTAGTGTGGCCTAGCCACCAGAGTCCATGTAACTTGCCCCAAGTGTCAGGGCAGTGAGGCCCAATGGCCAGGGTCCATATAAATCTCTCCCAGCATTGGAGCAGTGCAGCCCAATGGCCAGGGTCCATACAGCTCCCCCCTCAGAAGTGGGGTAGTGCAGCTGGAGACACTTGCCCCAAGCATCAGGGAAGTGTGGCCCAATGGCCAACATCCATATAATCACCCCTTTCTGACAGTGTAGCATGGCCAGAATCCTTATGATTCCAATGGTGTGTTTTTAGGGGAGGTAGTAGGGGGACCCAGTCCCACTCTCTTCACCAGGTCCCAACCCAGGTCCCTGGTAGTGGCAAGTTCTCCTTGCCACCATCTTGGTGGGATCTGCCCAAAACACAGTAAGCCTCTGTGCAACTCAAACACCATTTTCCTCTAAAGTTCCCCTGGGTTACTTCCTATCATAACCTTCAGGTTCTCCAATTCAGGGTGGGTCCTCTGGTCAGTTCACCTCCTGTAACGTACTCCATCTGGGCACCAAGGTGCATCCCAGCTTGGCTGGCCTCTGGATCCTAGAGCACAGGCTGGCCCTCCTCAGGAGCTGGCAGAATGCCTCCTTCCCCTCTGGTGGTCAGCCCCAACTGAGCAGCTCTGCAGGCTTTTATACCTGTTCTCCAGGTGGAGCATGCCCAGCAGAGCCTCAGGGGCGTGGCTGTCTCTGCTAGGAAGGAAGGGTTAACTCCTGCGGTACCAGTGCAGGGCCGCTCTGCCCTGTCATAGTGACATTGAGCAAATAATTTAATTGTTCTGTACTTTCAGTGTACCATTTGTAAAACAGGCATAATGCCTTGTAGTTAGGGTATTAATTAAGCCTTGTGTAACAGGTAAGCAGTGAAATCCTAGAAGGTTTGTTGGGTAGGAGGAAGACAATTGACCATGGGAGGGTTTTTGAAAGGTTTAATGGGAAATAGGACTGGGGGGAGGATTGAGGGTCTTGTTGAAATAGGCTGAGGGCAGGGGAAGTAAGAGATGTGATGGCTAAAGTTTTTAAAAGAAAATATGCCTCACATTAGGCTCCCAAGTCTGTAGTTAGTCCATAGTTAGGTGTTTAAATAAATGACCTGACTTTGAGTGCTGAACACCCAACAGTTCCTACTGACTCAGTCTTGCATTGTAGCCTTTGATTCAGATTCAACCTCCTGCCTTGCTCTATGGGTGGAGCAGTGAGGCATGGATCCAAGTATCCTAGGACAGGTTTATAGACCTTATAAAACCTTTTCTGTTAGTACAGCTAGTATTACAAAGAGGATAGGCTCTTCCCAAAATATTTTTAAAAAAACATTCTGTCTGTGTGGGGAATGACAGAAAAAAGGAGAGAAGGAAGAGGTGAGTTATAAGTATGGGGGCAGAAAGGAGATATAGATGGGGTAAAATGGGCAGGACGGGGTTCAATGAGTCTGAAATTTCTTTTGCTGGGCCTGATAACACCAACAACTCTCATGCTTGCTGTTGACGTTTTTGCTGTGATTTTTGTTGTGTTTTTGCTCTCAGCAGAGCTCTACTTTCCATAGGAATGCATTATTGATCTGCTTTTTCACTGTGCATTGTTGCAGTGTCTAGCAAAGTCTGCATGATGTCTCCTCTTTTGGGAAATGGAGCATTTGTTGTAATACTGTACTTTAATTAAAGATAAATTTGTTACAAGCACTAAGTTACTCATTATTTTCATTGTGTAAAATAAACTTATTCTTCTGTAGGTACAGCAAAAGTACAATCTGAAAAAATTTCTGAAACTCATCATGATGGAAGTGAGGCATTTGTTGAAGACAGGAATATTGGGAAAAATTTTAAAGATTTTCCAGTGGCTCTTTTGGTAAGGTAAACAATAAAGTCAATGCAAGATTTTTAGCTGTTCTTTGCATGTTAGTTTACATAATTTTGAGATACTTTGACCTACTCACAAATGAGCTAACAGCTTCATAGAAATGTAGAAAACTCACTTCCTTTTACACAGAGGCTTGCATGGGAAATAATTCCAGTACTGTTTTGGGACAAGACTATAGGAATAGATACTAGATAGTGGCAAAAGTATACATGTTACATAGTGATCTTCTATTTGTACATAGAGTATAATTTTAACCACAGTCAAGTGGTGTTCAGGGCACTTCCACTCCTTCAAAACATGGAGTCTTGAATGAGCTTCCGAGTCTGTCACTGAGCCATGTAATCAAAGTATCTGGTTTACTCTTGGAGGAGACTGGAATCTTCGAGTCATGTTTAGAAAACCTCACTCTGAAAACTTTCTTCCAGTCAAAATAATTTGTCGGGAAGGAGAGGCAGTCAACAGTTGAAAAGAAAATCAAACTTCAGATGTTCGCTACAATAGAGCTTGAATGAACTATGACATTCCTCCTTCTCATGGGAGATTTGGATGTCTGGTGATAAATCATGGAAAGACTTTCGCAACACATACAGATAGCAAACTGCCTTTGTAGGCTTTTTTATCTAAAGTGCGTTAAAAGAGCTGAAAGAGTTTTTTTTTCTGTCAGTAGTCAGGCTTATATGAACCATCCCTGTATATCTCTGGTTACTTCAGGAGACTAATTTTAACGTGATGTGACTTCTAAGGTTAGACTGACTATACTTTTTCAAAGCATTACTCTTCCATCATACATTGGGCATGAATCCAGGTTTGACCTTTCTGTTACAGATGTACAGCAACCTATATACCTTAAATTATGGGATCTCTCTCTAGATACAACATACGTATTTTGGATGTACTATGCTTTGGAGTTGCCAAAAGAGCATTTTACTGTTCACTCCTGTTACTACTGCACCATGAGGAATCTTTGCATTTAACTGACCTTTGGCTAATTCTTGACCACATTAGAGACTCACACCTGAATCTTTTGTCCTCAAGAGTGAAGACTGCAACTAGTCTGTTTTTGGAAACATACAACTATTAATAACTTGTTCTCTGAGGATGAATGGTGTAATGGATTTACACTCTCCCATCCACTTTCAGTGCAGAGGTGTGGATACAGCTTTACAATTTTTTTAATGCTTTCCCCCTTTTGCTCAGAATAGGAACTGATGGACTAGAGCAATGATAGTGTGTGGTAAGAGTGAGATTTAAATAATCTTGTAAAATATAATGTTATCTGAGTTCTCACTGCCCTTGAGCCAAGCATAATCCCAAATCTGTAATTCTCTTGCAGATTAGACAACAATATTGGACATGTAATAAATCATTAGACAACAACATCAGATATGTAATTTCTCCTTCCTGAGACTAATACCTATGTTTTACAATCTCATTCTTGATTGAAATGCAGCCTGGGAGAGGAAACATGTTAATGAGTTCCAAGAAGTTAAATAAGAAATGGAACTAGTTATACACCTTTTCTTCTATAATTAAAAAATGAATTTTTAAAGACAATTTCATAGAGCATCTCTCAATATTGCATTATTTGATGAAATGCTGGGTTTTTAAAAAAATACCATGGAAGATGCTGTTGTCTAGTTGCCTTTAGTGATGTGTTTTCTTTAACAAAAAAGGTATGCCTTAGAAGGGCTATCATTTCACTTAAAAAGTTCATTTAATAAATTCATTTAGTGAAAGAACTTGAGTTCTTTGCATTATTGCACATGTGGGTCCCACTAATTGTGTCCATTGTGCCCAGCACAGCGGTTTGGAATGTTGACTCTAGCAGTATCTAGTAGGGATTGCGCATGCTTCTGCTTCTGCCACATGTCCCCCCGCTTCCCCCATTTGAGGTCATAAAGGGCACAGTGACCCCAATCGCCACTCAGTTCCTTTGAACTGCCATAGGCAGTGAGTTGGAACAACATAGTGTTAGTCTGTAGGAACCTTGCTACTTAGTAATTAAACTGATCGTTGGTGATTCTTTTTTTTATAAATAGGAGTTAGTGTTTTGATTACTATTTTATTTAGCTTGTAGGCAGTAGATTAAAAATAGAAAGAGTGAAGAGCACAGTTTATATCAGAACATATATTTCTGGGTTTCAAGCCATGTCCCTCCTCTAGGGGGATTTTTCTTCTGACTAACAGCCATAACATTACTGCCTGGGTAAGGAATATATCATTGCTAAGTGAGCGATTTGAAAGTCCTTCAAGAAGCAGCCTGAACTGACTCTTTTTCTTATAGAAAGGTCCATGAGGGCTATGTTGGACTCAGGTCACAGACCTGATAACAGAGGCTTCTTTTTTCATAACTCATTCTGCCAGCACTCCTATGACTAGAGATGTGACATCTGATTCAGGAGCAGTTAAGAAGACAAAAGGAACTCAGAAGAATCCACCAAAGCAGTCAGGGATCCTTGCTGCCTGAGGACTGAGTGGCTCTGACTTTATGCAGAGTTGTTGTAGCTTTGCTGGTCCCAGGATATTAGAGAGACAGGGTGGGTGAGGTAATACGTTTTACTGGTGAGTTACCTTCTGTTGAATTACCTTCTGAATTACCTTCTGTTGGTGAGTGACACCTGAAAGCTTGTGGCTCTGACTCTGTCCTTTTCCTGGTACTGAGCCCTGTCTCTGGGACCAGGACTCAGGAGTGCAGAGGAGTTCTTCTGAGGAGCCCTTGCAGCCAGTGAGAGAAAAAAGCAGGACTTGGGCAGGTGGTGCCACACTATAACAGAAGGCCAGTTCAGACACCGTCTCTATGTCTTCGGCAAGGAGATCTTTAGGGAAGATCATCTACTTTATTTATTTTTAGAACCAGCTTTAGAAAAGCTGTTCCTCTCAGTACTGGAGCGCTCAGGATGGTCTTCATCAGTGACTCCTTTGTTGGTACCAATGGCTTTTATCAAAGCCTGCACTGACAGTTTCAACCACAGGACAAGCTTCAAAGCATAACTACAGCATCCTCAGCGATGGGAACTTTTACAATTAAATTTGAGCTCCAAAAGGTTCCTTTGTGCCTTCACCAGACATCAGCATCACTCCAGAACCTGAGTCATCTTTCCTGAAGGTTTCCCCAATTTTGGTGACAGACAGATTCCCTCCATGAAAAGATGCAAGGATACTTGTAATGCAAATTTCTTTGAACCAACATACAAATACAATTAAGGATATGAGTCCCATGCAGGTCCTTCAATCTTCTGTTGTGCCTTCGGTGTTAGAAACTTTTTCATCCAAAAACTTTGACTCCTCTTCAGACTGATAGGAGTTCTCTGCAAAAAAAAACCCCCAAATCCTATTGATGGAAAGAAAATAATCTAAGGAGGCATACGGGGTAGGACCTCTTAATAGATCTGAGGATGCTAATTCTCACAATGCTCTTTGGTTTCCTCCATATTGGCCAAATGTCCCTTTCCCAAATGGTCTGCAACTGTGGTCTTATTGGCCTTCATGGATCACAGTTTTCATGAAATGTTGTCCCACACTATACGGGATCTATACATAAGTCACCTGTGGCAAATTCTCATGGTTTTATCATTCTCCTTGTCATGTTTAAGAAAGAACAACAAATTGTAAGCAATCGTGAAATATCTGCTCATCAAGAGAGTCTTCCCAATTTATCACTTGGTCTTTCTCCCTTGCTTGATTAAACTATTTCATGATCCACAATTTTCAGCTGATGATTTAAACCCTGACAGGAATTATTGAAGCATATTGCAAAAACACCAAAAGTTCCTTTGGAGACTATTCAGGAGAAAGTGTATAAATTGTTTGATATCCTAAAACCAACATCCCAAAGCAGGGTTGAACTACCTATTAATGAAGGGATGTTGCAGCCATCAAAAGATCTTTGGGCTACCCCTGCTGTGAGGCAAACCTGCAGCCAAACCAGGGCTGCTCGCTCAGCTGCCCCTCCAACAGACCTGAGGTGAGTAACCGCTCAGGCATGCAGGAACAATTCAGTTTCACTGACTTACCCTTCCAACAGAGCCTGCAGTGACTTAGCCCTCAGGCATGAGGCAGCAACCTATCCCTAAGCCAAGACGGGGTCAGATGACCCCCAGGCTCAGGTATATCCCCAACCCTACTAGAGCTGCAGATCAATCTATGCAACAGCACTACCTGGCCAGGAATCCTCCTGCTACCTTGCACTGTATCAGACTCTCGAGATTCCCAGCCTGCTCTTGATCCTGTTCCTGCCCCAGCCTTGCCTGAGCCCTGTTCCAGTCTAGTCCATGCTCTACTCTGACCTTGCTGAAGAGCTGTTACTGACTCTCTTTAGCCTTGCCTCTGCTTTCTGACCTTCCCTGGACCTTGGCTTCGACCCTCCTTGTATCTGGACCGTGTCTACAGAACTGACTTGGTTTGTCCCTGGATTCTGACTATCCATTTTTGATCCCTGGCTTACACCTTGACTCCAGCTATAGTACTGATTCTGGTTTGTCTACAGACTCTGATGTTTGTTCTGACCTTGGCCTGTCCCCAGATCTTGATTCCAGTGCTACCCTTGGCCCAGTCCGGACCTTACCTCTGGCTTCGACCTCTGCCCCAAATATTAGGCCTGACTAGATCTCGGGAATCTCAGTTAATACATTCAATGTGCCAAATTCCATATGGTAACTTTTGTTTCTTGTTATTCCTGCTGTAGATCCCATGGATTGATTCATTACCCTCAACTTACAGGATGCTTAATTTGATGTGTCTATACCCCCCACCACAGAAAGCACGTACATTTTCTGGCTCTGGAGAGTCATTACCAATTGAGAGTGCTGGAATTTTATTGGCACTGAGCATATTCACAAAGTGTCTATCAGTAGTACCAGCCCATCTACTCAGCCAAGGATTCTACATTTACCCTTACATAGATGTGCACGGGAATTCATGAACACAAGCGTAGTCACAGCAAAGAAAATGATTCATTTAGTTTCATCCCTGGGTTTGAGGATCAATTTTAAAAAGTCAACTCTGATTCCATCTCAATCTACAGAGTTCGTCAGAGTTCTTCTGGACTCAGTAGCAGCAAGAGCATTCCTCCATCAGAGATTTCAAAAAATAAAAACAAATATGATTTCTGTACTGACCTCAGAAGACTTAGCTTTACACATTAGTGTCAGAGAACTGAAAGTTGCCAGACTGGCGTGCCAAGTATTTCTATTGCAGATTAGGGGAAGCAGTCTATTAGTCCTTACACACAACATGGCAGCAGTGTTATAACTCAGCAAGCAGGGGTAGCCCACTCTTCTTCACTCTGTCAAGAGGCAATGTTGGGAGCTCTGTATTGCCAGCTCAATAGATCTAGAAGCATTTTATCGGCTGGATGTACAAAACAACCTAGCAGACCCCCTGAGCTGATTGTTTATGAGTCACCATGTGTGGTCTGTTCAACCAGATGTGGCCAGATACATCTTCCAGTTGTGGCGGTTTCCCCAAGTAGACATATTTATGAAAAAGTCCAACAAACTGTCAGCAATTATGCTATCTATGGGGTCACAATTCTGTGACAATTGCCTTTTTAATGGCTGTGGTCAGGCAGACTCATGTACAGTTTGTCATCAATCCTGCTCATTCACAGGTTATTACTAAAGATGAGAAAGGACTAGGCCAGAATCATACTTATAGCCCCAGCATAGTCCTGTCAACACTGATTTTCCACTCTTCACTCTATTGTCAAGACTATGAATTCCCCATTTGAACTGTTGGCTACCTGCTCTCTACTGCACCTGTCAATGAAGGTGGCATTTTTGGTGGTCATTACCTTGGCCAAAGAGTAGGGGACCTGCATGCCTTAATGCTGGAGCCTCCATATACAATCTTTTTTAAGGAAAAGATTTACCTGTGTCTTCATCCAAAGTTCGTCCTAAAGGTGGTTTAATATTAGCATATAAACCACCCAATTTATTTGCCCATATTCTATCTGAAGCTTCATATAAGCAGGGAGGAAGAACACTTGAATACCTTGGATGTCAGAAGAACTATACTGTTCTACCTCAACAGACCCAGGCACTTCTGTAAATACTCCCAGCTGTTCATAGCAGTGGCAGACAAAATAGGAGGACAATCAGTTTCCAGCCAGAGAATTTCTTCCTGGATGGCATCCTCTATATGCCAGAGTTCTCTTGCCAACAAAATAAAACCACCCGCAATTGCGGTGGTAGCTTTGTTGGTGGGAGAATGTCTCCCACCAACAAAGCGCTGTTCACACTGATACTTTTTGTTAAAACTTTTGTCGGTTAGGTGTGTTTGTTTTTTCACACCCTGACCGACAAAAGTTTTAATAACAAAAGTGCAGTGTAGACATAGCCTGTCTCCTTGCTTCTCCCTAATCACTCATTAACTTTTGGCCCCAAACTTCCTCCCTCCCCCCACAAGAGAATACAGTTAGAAATAAGAGGATGCAAAATATTCTGTTCTCTCCCTTTTTGGGTGTGTTTGTCTTTGCTTTCTCTTGTTATTTAGCTCTCCTGACAATATGATCTCTTTCTTTGGGAGGCTTTAGCACAGTCTAATAGATGGAAAACGTATCTCTCAAACATCTAAAACTAGAATGGACAATACATGTGCACTGGAGAAAAATAATCCTTTGAGGCTAATTTCTGATAAATCTATTTCAGTTGTGGAAGAGTAGAAAATCATATTCAGGATTTCAGGGCTTGCAATACTTTGGTTTAAAAGTCTTGGGTATCAGCACACATTTAAAACGTTATTTTTAAACACACTGTAGTTTCTATTTGTATTAAATAAATTCAGTAAAAGTAATATTATAATGAAGTAATGTACAGAATACTAAATAAGCTTTTCCCTCCTAGATACTGCTGAAGAATCCTGTGTTGATGTGTTTAATAGTAGCTGCTTCTACAGAAGCTTTAGTTGCCACTGGCTTTGCCACATTTCTGCCAAAATTTATAGAAAATCAGTTTGGACAGTCATCCAGTTATTCAGCTACACTAGGAGGTAAAGGGTGTTTCAATTTTTTAAACTCTTTAAATAAAAATATCTTGTGCTATATATATATTGTACTGCCTATGTTAATTAGCTGGTAGAGGAGAGAAATTAATTTGGGATTGGTATGAATTGTAGAGTTTCTGTAACCTTTAATACATAAATATTTTTAGCAAAAATTGGTCTTTTTATTACAAAATGCGAACTTCAGAGCAGCAGTGGACTCTTTCCCACACCGTTCCACTCAGTGGCCTTGCCTACACTAGGAAAACTATCACCTGTGATTCACTAGTGGTGCAACTCTGCTAGGAGAAGCTGTAGCATCAACAGAACTCCAGGCATTTTTATCACTCATTGTAAGGATAGACAGTGTTGTAATAATTTGGCCTACAAATTTACCCTAATTGAGAGCTCAATTGTAAAAAAAAATGAGTGTAAATTCATAAATGTCACAATAACCTGTAACAACAAATGTTGATGGGAAATGGTGCAAAACAGAGACAGACTGAATTAGTCAAAACAAAAAGTGAGGCTGATCCTCAAGTACTGTATTAAGATCATGCTTGATGAACAAGGAAAGTATGGAACCAGGAATCAGTGAATCAAAATTGGTATGTTGGAAATTAACTGGTGTCCAAAATAATGGGGGAATTGTTAACCACCACTCCATTTCTGGCTCCTTCAAGGAAGATTTTGGGAAGAAAAATTGGCCACTGGCCTGAGCTTCACCAGCATAGTTGCCACCCCCACCATCTCCAGCGACCCTAGACCATCTTCATCCTAATGCTGAATGATGTCCTGAGCAGATCAGGCTGGAGGGAGGGAGTGAGATGACACTACTACCTCCACCAGCTGTGGCTGAATTCTAAATACCACCTGGGATGTGAGACTTTGTTTGTCCCACCTCTCCACAAATGTATACTTTTTCCTTCTCTACCATATTTCTTCTCTTTCCAATCTCTCTCCTTTTTACTTCTGTCTAATTAGAATCTGGCTTACCTGGCCAAGACTGCATATTTGGCCACTCTGCTGCAAGCCTGTGACCAGAAAGAGGCAGCTAAAAGCAATAACCTAACAGCTTGATGCTGGTACAAGTTTGACAGGTCTTAGAGTAGCTGATAAGACTGTGTGCCTTGCCTGTGTTTTTCCAGCTGTGAGGTTGCAAGTGAAAGGCAATTAGATTTTCTATCTTTATTATTCTGTTCTCTCCCTTTTTGTGTGTGTTTGTCTTATTTTGTCATCTAGGAACTGGGACCAGACTTTAACAACATGAGCAAGAACAACAGTTCCAGCCCATCTCAATTAACTGTATCTCTTTTCTCTAAAAATCTTTAATACCATCTAAGTCACTGTCAGAAAAGGTTTTTTTTTTTTCTTTCTAAAGGCCTCAGTTGGCACGTGACCAGGATTTATCACCAAATTTGGTCAACTGGTTAGATCATTAGCTTCCCTGGCCTGTGCCGGGTACTGACAGGGAGTGCGATGTGAACGCTGATCCATGCCCCTCCATACTAAGTAGGCTGAAGTCTCCATATACAAAACTCTGAACCTTGTTTAAAACTTATGTTGAACAGTGACTGGGTTATATTAACACCTTTGATTCTTTGGCCCCATATATTCTATCTCACTTAATTCAACAGACAATATATTAGTAAAAATGTCTCGAGTCCTGTTGACATGACAGTTTCCACCTTTGCTACCTCTGGTGAATACCGTTTATGGTTTTCTTAGGATAGACTCAGCTAAAGTGTTAATCCATAGGAAATTTAGATATAGTCTGAATGTCACTTGAAGTCTGCTTAACTTCAAAGTTATTTTAGGGTAGAAGGGAAGAAAAGGCAATTGGGAATTTTGTTTGCAATGACTACCACTTTGTTCCCGATCCAACTGCCCTTGACCCCTGGCCTGGCAGCTCCCTGACTCCTGTTATTGGCTCTCTCCTTCCATGGGACTCTCATCTTCTGTGCTGCCAGCAGTTGTGGGATGTAGAATTTTTTTGTGATAGAAAAGAGAAGTGGAATTGGTGTTGGGCTTATTTTATGCCACCACAATGATCTGTGTTAAATTTGGTCTTTAATACCAGTATGTTTATTAATGGCCTAGAAAAGGGAGTAAACAGCATCTTAATGAAATGATGATATCAAAGTGGGAGGACTGAAACAATATAGAAGAACTTGGGTATACAGATTAGAAAGGGATGGAAAATAACAATGAATGAACATGTTGAGAAGAATAAAAGTTAAAATACCATGCAATAAATTAATTGAAATCAGATATTCAATTGCATGGAGCAATCTGAAAAGCAGTGTGGTTGAAAAAGACCATTAGGCTTCTGGTGTGCTGAGTCCACTGCCTAATTGTTAAGATTTTGTGGGTATTCTGGGAAAGCAGAGTTTTAAGGTGGTTAATAAGAGAGTTTTGCAGATGTTGATGGGAAGCTCTTATAAAACACGAGGGGCAGAATGGGAGAAAGAACAAAGGTGCTTGTTTGAAAATTTAACAAGTGTGTGATGGTGGCTGGCATCAGGGCTGAGCAAAGGGGAATTGGACCCTCTTGGTTATCAGTGAGCTACCCCACACCACAATTACTGCCCTTGGAACCTTTCAATCTATTGCTTCTTTGACAGTGAAGGAATTCCCTGCAGGAGTTGCTATTTCAGTTGTTGCTGTGATTCCACTTATCCCAGTTTAGCTATGACTGCTGCAGGTACTTACTTCTACTGCTTCTTTGCCTTCCTGGAAGGTCTTATCCTTTTATTTCTTCTGGGTTTATTTTTAACCCCAGAAATTGCTCAGAAAATGAGGTAGGGAGATTGTCTGACAAGGGGTTTGGAGGACCAAAAAAGCCCAATATCTGCACATCGTTGGAACTCATTATGGAAAATCTTGTGCTTAAAGTAGCAGTAGACTGTGTGGAGGAAGGTTCCCAGCTGACTGAAGGGTGCCCTAAAAGGAGTGCTATATTAATCTGATGTGTCTACCACACAATCTAAGATTGGGCTGTGCCTTTGGCAATAAGAAGTTTGAAACAACAGCTAAATAATGTGAGGTCACAGATGCATGCATCTAAATCTAAAGAGAATCATTTACGTTATTTTTTGTGAGAACTGTTATAAAAGTTCATTCATGCCTTTTGAAATTCCAGTAATATAGTTTGGAAATGACAAAAAATCAGGATACACCCTAAATTTTGATTGTCTTGCATTTTTGTGTAATTGATGGTGTCTCATTTTACTCTAGGGCTTGTATTAATTCCAGGAGCAGCACTAGGTCAAATCATAAGTGGCATCTTGGTTTCCAAGTACAAACTGGATTGCAAAAACATAATCAAGTTCATATTAGGCACTTGCTCAGTGGCTCTAATATTAAACACGGTGTTTGTGTTTTCTAAATGTGGGAATGAACCATTCGCAGGTGTCTCTGAAACATATAACAGGTAAATATATTTTAATGTACTCTTGGGCTTGGTAACAATGTTCAAAATGAGTAAACTGTTTTACAGTGCATAAATACACTTTTCAAATTGTCTTGTTTAATTTTCTTTAATGTATGAAAAACATACTTCGAGAAAGTTGAGAATCCTCTCCATAGTTAAGTCCTGCTAGCAGTAGATGAAAACAGGAAAGTTCTTGTGATGTTATATGTTCTGTAAAAGGGTCTGGCAGACTGACTATGCTCAGCTATTATTTCTCTGTCTCTTGCAGATGTGGGCAGCTGGTGTGGTTCCTTAGGTTAGATGTCTGTGTTTCTTTGGAGAATGTTTTCCCTCAACCCTCTTCAATTTCTGTTAGAGGTTGATTAATTTATGCAGGTTTCTTTCTTGATAAGAGAGTCCTATCCCCTGCTCTTTTATTGAAGCACATTGAAGGATGGCACGGAGGTTGAAGTCCTAGCTTTGCTGCTTTGGCAGCAAATGGTCTGCAACCAGTGGGCCTCCAATTCTGTTGTGTACCATTCTTTCTTAAAAGACTGGGAGGCTTCAGCTCTCAGAGTAGAGAGAAACTTAGCCCTGTAGTTTTACCTTTGCATGCATACCTGCTTCTTAGCTGAAAGACATTTTGAGCCCAGCAACTTAACTGGTAAATTGATCTTGCTTTAGGTGGTGTGAGGTAGGCCTCATTTGAGACCAGGTACCATCATGTCAATCATATATGCCAGTCATGCAAAGGGCCATGACCTTCCTGGATAGAGAACATGAGCTGCATCGGTCTTGCCTTTTTGGCCAGGCAGCAGGATAACCCTAGTTGCTGAAATCTAGACAAGGGTGTTTTTGCTTACTTGGGGTATATCTACACAGCCACAGGAGCAAGCCTTCCAACCTGGGTTGACAGACTTGGGGTAACATGGCTCATGTTAGTGCTCTAAAAATATGTGTGTAGACAGCACTTTGAACTTGTGGTTTGGGCTGGAGCTTGGGCTCCAAAGTCCATCCCCCCTTCCTTAGTTTCAGAGCCTGAGCATCAGCCTGAACCAACTTAAAAGTGCTGTCTTCACAGCTATTTTTAGAGTACTAGCACAAGCCCTACTAGCCCAACTCTGTTAACCCTGGCAGGGAGTCTTGCTCATAGGGGCTATGTAGATGGTGTCACTCCTTCTGTGTAGCTCCCTTAGTTGTCTGAACTGCTTTCTGGAGACAGAGCTTGATTCAGCCTTCCTGGCCCTGATTTAGGAATTCTTTCATTTTTCTGAAGTGTCCATACCTCCTGTGCAGCTTAACATTTTGCTTCTAATTTTATCAACTGTTTTTCTTTACTTTGGGATGGGTGCATCAGTGAAACATGGTCTCTTGGGTCAGATGCTCCTCTTGAATTATTCTTCCCCTCTTTTATTCTTGCATATCCTCTACTGGATACTGTCCTGTAATATGGTCAATAAAAAATCCAGGTACTACAATGCTAAATTGTATTCAAATCAAATGAGAGCTACCTTTTTTCTATCCAAATTAGACAAAAATCTGACCTACATGGGATAGAATTCTAGTCTTAATGTGGCTTCTTCTGAAAAAAAATATGGAGGAAAAAGGATCAGTCAGAACAGTGTTAAACACTAAAAAATACATAAAGTTATATTTTAACCTTACTTTCAGAACAACGGGTTCCAGAGAGTGTACTTATAGGAGTTGTTTTAAATTCCAGTGGGTAAGTAAATCTACACAGGTAGATAGTGATAGCAGTATTTTAGAACACTTTTTAATTGTGGTTGGGGAGTGTGTTCACAAATAGGTAAAGAATTTTTGTTCCTTATTATCACAGTAGTGCTTAGATACTGCAGCTTGGATGGGGCCCCATTATGCTACAAACACAATAGGAAGTGACAGCTCCTGACCCAAAAAACTTTCATACTGAGTAGATCAGACTGACTCTGAATGTGGGGGGAGGGTGGAACAGAGGTGGAGTGACTTGTCTAAGTAGAGTCCAACTCAAGTGTCCTATCTACTGGACTACATTAGCTGTTTTTGAAACTTCCAATTAGTCTGATTCTATGCTTGTATCTATAAGGATTCTGGTCTCTTTCTGTTAATGGATTTTGACTTCTTGAGCAACTTCAGCATTTCCATTTGACATCCAGTCTCCATGCGGCCCTTCTATAAGGATAATCAGCTTGCCCTTAATGTATAAGAAATTTTGTTTCATTCCAGAACACCAGTGTGTGTGTGTGTACACACACACACACACACACACACACACACACACTAGTATGTGCAGGTGGCTGCATGCAGTGAAGAGAAAGCAAGTGGTGTATCCTAGTGTGCCGAACTACTTTGGTGCAAAGCAAAACACCTCAAAATGATCATCGTTGGTGATATCTACTTTATCCATCTTGTCATTGATACATTTGAATGCGAACAAGTTTAATAAATTCTAACCTAGGATAAGGGAGACAAAAGTTACAGCTTACATTGTTATACTTGAAAATTACTCGGTGTTTCAATAGCCTTCTAACTTTATATTCTAACTCTGTTGGTCTTTACAAACGTATAATGTATGATACTTTAAAAGAATAGTTTTAGTATTATTTTAATTTTCTATTCAGAAAGCCCTTTTAAAAATGCAGATTTTTTAAAATGCTATCCATTTAATGAGAGATTTTCAAAGGCACAAATAGGAGATGAGAACATAAGAATGGCCATACTGCGTCAGACCAATGGTCCAGGCCCAGTATCCTGTCTTCTGATAGTGGCTGGTGCCAAATGCTTCAGACGGAATGAACAGAACAGGACAATTATTGAGTGATCCATCTCCTGTTGTCCTGTCCCATCTTCTGGCATTGAGATTTAGGGACATTCAGAGCACTGGTTATATCCTTGACCATATTGGCTAATAGCCGTTGATGGATACGTTCATGGAGGACAGATCCATTTTATTTTGTGAACCCAGTTATAATTTTGGCCTTCACAACATCCCCTAGCAATGAGTTCCCCATGTTGCATGTATATTGTGCAAATAAATACTTTGTTTTAAAATTGTTGCCTATTAATTTCATTGGGTGACCCCTCATTCTTATGTGAAGGAGTAAATAACACTTCCTTATTCACTTTCACCACACCATTCATGAATTTATAGACCTCTATCATATCTCCCCCACCTTAGTCATCTCTTTTCTAAGTTGAACAGTGCCAGTATTTTAAATCTCGCCTCAGATGGAAGCTGTTCCATACCCCTCATCATTTTTGTTGGCCATCTCTGTCCTTCTCCCAATTCTAAATTATCTTTTTTGGGATGGGATGACTAGAACTTCATACAGTATTGCAGATGTGGATGTATCGTGGATTTGTATAGTGGCAGTATGATATTTACTATCTTATTATCTATTCCTTTCCTAATGATTCCTAACATTCCATTAGTTTTTTTGACTGCCACTGCACATTGGGCAGATGATTTCAGAGAAACCATCCATGATGACTCCAAGATCTTTCTTGAGTAACAGCTAATTTATAACTCATCATTTTGTATGTACTGTTGGGATTATGTTTTCCAGTGTGCATTATTTTGCACTTGTCAACATTCAGATATTCAATCTTTGATACTACAGTTTAATTATGATAAAGATTTTTTGGTTTGAAATGCTTCTTTGAACATAAGTACTCTTTACAATTTTTTTGCTAGTTTTTAAAATATTTGGAATTGATACATGTTTTAAGAGAGAAGTTGAGGACCTGCTGTAGGAAGAAATAGCTTATACAAATGTTTGTGGCAATCTGCATATGGTACTGCTGATTAGCCAAAAAAATCCTATTTGATTAAAGACAGTACCAGCAAAGGGACCTTTTAAATTTGCAGGCTTTCACAGAAAGCTCAAGTGGTAGTAAAAACACTCATTTCTGTCACAGAGTCTCCGAAGAGATTTAAATTACTCCTGTTTCATAAACAGATAAAAGGACACACATTGCTGTGAATCGAGCAGAATGAAAAAAGAAAATATCAGCTATCCTGAAACTCAGACAACTCAACAGCAGCCAGTTATTCTATCATGCAGTGACAGAGCTAGAGGCAACTCCAATTGTTTGAGGGTCTGCCAAAGAGCCAGATGGTGTTGTGGAAAATAAATTCCATGCTCTGGTACCTAGGGATTCTAGCTTCCATTTAAAGATAAGCATAAACATGAGTGATATGCAGTGCAACTGGGTAAATGACTTCTCAATATTCCACTCCCAGTCCTCATTCTTTAATTTTAGAAAAGGACTTAATATGTTGTCAGAACAATATGGTGACAAAAATAGGACCTTTATTTTGATTAGAAAGTGCAGTTCTAACTTTTGTCTTTTGCTCTTGCTGCCATAAATTGAACTCTTTTTTGGCCCCTAGTGGCTCTAAACCAAGTACACACAAGTGAACCCATGCGCTCCCTACAACGTGCATGAAAGAGGTATTTGTGTCCTAAATGGTCTGGGAGAGCAGGGATCTTAAATATCAGATTTAGCCACCTCTTATGTGCTGAGGACTGCCCAGTAACAATGTCATGCAACTGCAAAAAGTGGACAGTGAAGAACATCAGAAATTGTAGCATAAGCTGGAAACCGAGAAATTGAGATACATTAACCTAGGACAGATATGCCTCATTCACTTTATGTGAATTATCAGGTGGAGTTCATTTTATATGAATTATTTTGGGGCAGTTCTTTGGCCTGTGGTATACATGAGGTCAGACGTGATGATTGCAATGGTCCCTTCTGGCCTTGGCATCTATGAATCTATCTGTATTAGTATTCATGAATTAAAGTCAAAACTCTTTCTCTCACACATATAATAGGAAAATGACACAAAACATGGAGTTTGAGAGGTAGGCTGTTTCAAAGTAGAAACAAAATTAGATTCATAACTGAATAAATCAGATACTTTCAGGATACCGTAGTCGAGTGAAATATTCTTACTTTTTAAAAATAAATTAAAACATAAAACAAGACACACACACACACACCATGAAATGGTGACTGCCCACAAACTACTAAAGAAAAATGTGAGAATAAGACCAAAACATTGGTATGTCATACATGGTTAAATGCAAAAACACAATAATGCAAATTTAAAGTCACACATGTAAGGCCATGGGCTAGGATTTTCAAAGGAGCTGAAGGGAGTTGTTGCCCACTTGCTACTGAAATTCAAAAGAGTTGGACACCTAAGTCCATCTTACTGCATTGAAAATCACTGGCTTAAAAGTCATGAAGTGACTTTTAGGGTTTAAGGTTAAACAACCTTAAATTTCACAAAACCTGCTTCCTTGCACATATCACCATAGTGTCTGAGTGCCCCACAATCTTTACTCCTCAGCATCCTGTTAGGTAGGGAAGTACTACCATCTCCATTTTACAGATGGGAAACTGAGGCAGAGAAAGACTTGTCCAAGATCACACAGGAAGTCTGTGAAGGAGCAGGGAATTGAAGCTAGCTCTCCCAAGCCCCAGACTAGTGTCCTGTCCACTGCAAGGCTGTTTTAAAAATTCTAACTCATTTTCTGAGCTTTCGATTCCTAATTATATAATCTTAGTGCTGCATCAATTTACAGTAGATTTGAAATTAATAGTTCTTTTGAATATTCATTATTAAATTTTTATATTCACATAGGTTTAAAGTAAAGAAAATTGCTCCAGTGAGCTAACTTTAAACTTTTTCTTCAAACAAGGCATTTTGCTGGTTTTGCTAAGATCTAAAGTGAAGCCACCCTCAAGGAAAATTTGTACAGAAGTTTTAAAATTTTGAACATCTAACATAAGAAACCTGGATTTGGAAAGTGCACACTTAACTATGGGAAGAGATTATACATGCAAAACTTTATCCCGAAAGGAAAAGAGAATTTTGTTGAAAACTGAACATGTGAAACAGAACTGTACTGCAAAATCTTTTGTATCGATAACTCTGCAGTATCTTTTCACTAAGATAGTGAACAGGTGGAACCAACAGATGCAGCTGAACCATTGGTGATAATGATTAGCAGTAGGTCTATAAAAATCCATGCTCTCTTCAGCATAATTTCTGCAACCATGGTTGAATCCCGCATAGTTGTTGCAATGATGTCAAAGACTTCTTGTCTGTCTCAACCCTCACAGCTAAACTTATCAGCACCATTTCAACTACACTCATTTCTGGCATCCATTGGCAACAGTTCATTTTTATCTTGTCCATCGTGTTACCTCTCAGAGGGCTTGACATACAAAATGACTGGGAAAGAAAAGGGGATTTAATAAAATAGCACTTCTCCATAGGTTCTTCAGGAAACTTTAGAACAATGCACAGCTAAATCTGTAGACATGGTAACTGGTAGAGATTCTATGAGCTTGTGGGAATTTAATCACATGACTGACTCCCACTTTGAATGTGGTGTGGCTAAATTCCTAGGTACTGAACTGATGACTCATTTCTTTGAGAATCTCTCTTTACAAGAGTGGTTTGACTGATGCTTGAGTTGAAATTCAATATAGTCCCATGAAGTTGGGAAGTAGGTGGGTGTTTATTGTTTTGTTTGGAAATTTTGAAGGCAGCCATCATGATGAACACTACATCTTTGTAGAAGATAAGATACTTTTATGCTCTTTTCCTTTGTATCAGCATAGTACCAACCTTTCTACACCTATTAATGTTGAAAATCATTTATTGTAAAACTTTTGAGTTCAGACACAAAGAAACAATCCTTGACATGGTGCTGGTATCATTTTGTGCTCTGATTCTCACCAAGAAAACTTAATTAGCAATAGTGGTGATTTTGAACAGTTGAAATGTCAGAATGGTTCACTTGAGAACATGGATGGAAGTAATACACTGTACATTCTTGAATCTATTATGATAATTTCTAAGGCGCAAAACCTCTCCCACCAACATTCCCTTCACCTCCTTGAGCAGTTGAAGAGCAGGAATGCAGTGAAATCACTGCCGTTCTGCTGGCACGCTGAATGCCAGTCTTTGTTTTGCAAAAAACTACATATTCCCTATGAAAAAAGCAAAGGAGTACTTGTGGCACCTTAGAGACTAACCAATTTATTTGAGCATAAGCTTTCATGAGCTGTAGCTCACTTCATCGAAGTGAGCTACAGCTCATGAAAGCTTATGCTCAAATAAATTGGTTAGTCTCTAAGGTGCCACAAGTACTCCTCCTTTGCTTTTTGCGAATACAGACTTAACACGGCTGTTACTCTCTGAAACCTGTCATATTCCCTATGAGGATTGTGAGGGTGTATCAGCTGGTTCCACCAGTCAAGCTTCCCTGGAAAAGTTGTGGAGCAGCTGTGAAAGCTTCCCCCACTTGCTTCAGTTGCATTACAGTCCATGTGCACCAAATAAACACAATAGCCTTTTCTCTGTGTGTCTGGATTTGCTCTTTGATAGAAGCATTGCAAACTCCGTTTTCAATATATTTTTGAAAAATGTAAGATGTCTGCAGAAGATTCTGAGATCTGAGTTACCCAGGAAAGAATTTTCTGTAGTATCTGGCTGGCGAATCTTGCCCATATGCTCAGGGTTTAGCTGATCGCCATATTTGGGGTCAGGAAGGAATTTTCCTCCAGGGCAGATTGGAAGAGGCCCTGGAGGTTTTTCGCCTCCCTCTGTAGCATGGGGCACAGGTCTCTTGCTGGAGGATTCTCCGCTCCTTGAAGTCTTTAAACCACGATTTGAGGACTTCAACAGATCAGACGTAGGTGAGGTTTTTCACAGGAGTGGGTGGGTGAGATTCTGTGGCCTGCGTTGTGCAGGTCAGACTAGATGATCATAATGGTCCCTTCTGACCTTAGTGTCTATGAATCTATGAATAAAGAATAAAGGCATTTTACCACTCAGTAAAAATGACTGAATGCTTCTAGATTTGTAACTTTGATGTAGCATTCCACATGCACTTTGAATATTGTGCATAATAATTTCATTTTACAGCTAACTGAACTGTCACTGGCAGAAGTGAATTGCCCTTTTAAAGATATAAATTATCTTTAAAGGAGCACATAATAAAAATAGAAGTTTATAAACTGACCCAAATTTCTCCCAATTGAAATTGGAGGATGTTTAAGTGATAGTTTGGACACTAACATACTACCACTCACTTTACAATATAGCTTGATTTTTAAACTGCTAAAATTGCAGCATTCCCAATTTCAGTAGAACTAGCTTTGAAACAACTTATGATGCAAAAGTTGTGTAATGCGCTGTTTCCATCAGGAAATTCAAAATCATTGTCATCCTGTTCCATCCTCGTGCATTGTGGGAAAGTCTTTAATTTACTTCTCATATAACTTAACATTTTAATGTTATAAGGCTGTGCATGGTTACTTCAGCTATAGATCTATAGTACCTTTGCCACTCTGGAAGTGAGAGGACTAAACCTAGGATATGCAGCTGTAGTACACAGGAGTTAAAGAACTCAGTTATCTATGTTACCAATTCCCAGAGCTGCAAAGCTACTCTGGGACATGACTTAGGTGTTATCTTGTTACTATATAGTTAGCACATGTAGCCTTCTTGATGTTTGAAGAAGCCAGATGTCATCTGGCTAAGGGACTAATAAAACAGCAGATATCTGAGAGATGGCTCATGAGTCAGATTGAGTTAAAGGAATAAAATCAATACTTGATCAATAAAAGTAGTTAAAATGGCTCATTTTACAATATCATTTCCACTTATCTTTAAAATGTGTTTTTTCTCTTATCTGTAGCTGTGTTAATGATCCACAAAAACACCTAGGGAAACTGAATATACAGAGTATGTAATAAAAATCACTAGACAAAGTGCTGTCAGATGCACTGAGTATACAGACTAGAATTTTCCCCATAATATTTCAGTATAGCAATTTTAGGTATTACAATAAGTATAAAATTTTCAAAGAGAAGTGTGATCTTTACATTTGTTATTAGTTTGAACTTTATAATGGTAATAATGTATGTTTGTGTAGAACTGTAGATTAGTGAACATATGAGCATTCCATTACTGACTCATGTTTCTCTATTCCCTATTGTAAATTATTCTTAAACCGAGTTAATGAAATCTATTGTTTACTCATTGCCTGTTTAATCTTTACCTTACAGAACAGGCAAGTTAAGGAACTTGACTGCACCATGTAATGCTAACTGCAACTGCTTACGCTCCTTTTATTACCCAGTTTGTGGCAGAGATGAAGTCCAGTATTTTTCTCCCTGTTTTGCAGGATGTACATCTTTTACTGTTCAAAAAAGGAAAAAGGTATTTTTTTATGTGATGTCTTTAACAGGAAATAAATGCACAGTTTATCCTGTATCTTGGTTTCTTAGCAAAATTTGTATGCCATTTTCAATTATTATTAAAATGTAAGAGAATTGTTTCCATTACAACAAAACAGTGAATCAGCATTAGCTTTATAATACATAATTGTGAACTAAAAAAAAAAAACCAAACCCAAACAAAAACGCCCCTTTGAACCTATAAGTGAATATTAATGTCAGTGGAATGAGGGGTCTAGTGTCTCGTAGTTGTTACATGTCTGTAGTGTTTTGTTGCAAATGTATTTCTCTGTGACAATTCTAGCATTGTACTCATTCTGTAAAACGATAAGTGGACTAAACAGAAGGGGCTACTACTGTTAATTTTTACTGTCCAAAACAGCCAGTGGCTTTAAATGCACACCTGGATTTTGGGATTTACTTATGTATCTAGAAATTATTTTGAATTTTCTTTGACATTTTGTCAGATAATTTTGTTTTGTCTCTGAATCAGGCTCTAAATGAGAGAAATAAATGTTAGTCTCCAAGGTGCCACAAGTCCTCCTTTACTTTTTGCGAATACAGACTAACATGGCTGCTACTCTGAAACCTATCACTGAGAGATGAATTCCGGCACAGGATTACATGATATTGACTCATATACCTTAATATAAATTACTGCTGTTTTAATAAACTTCATCCCTGTAATATATTCCAATAAAGTAAATTTTCGAACTTTGAACAGCATGGATTAATCTTTCTAAAATTATCTAAACTCCTTTATTTGGGGCTCAGATGATGATAGGACTCAAATGGTGGGCTAAAAAAGCAGCACTTCAGTCAGTGTTAAATTAATGAATGGATCCTTATCCATTTTTATACAATAAGGCCCCAAATGCATCATCAGTTCATGCAGATTTGTTAGGATCAAAATAATTCCAAAAGCTGCTGGCTTTCTGTGCAAGGGTGCCAGCGCAGTCTGGGAAGGTGGGGGCAAAAACATTTTGCTTGTGGTGGAGTCTTAAGAGTGATTATTTTGGTACCCCCTAGAGAATGAATCAAATGTCAAGGTGAGATGACAGGTTTCAGAGGGGTAGCCGTGTTGTTCTTTTTTGCTGATACAGACTAAGGAGTACTTGTGGCACCTTAGAAACTAACAAATTTATTTGGGCATAAGCTTTCATGGACTAAGACCCATTTCATCAGATGCATGCAGTAGAAAAAAAAATATATATATATTATATACACACACACAGAACGTGAAAAAATGGGTATTGCCATACCAACTCCAATGAGATGAGAGGAAGGGACTTGGGATTTCAGCAGAGGTGGCATTGAAGTTGTTTCCTTTAATAGGCAGTGTTGCAGAAGTGGGTCTGAGCAGGTTTATAGACATGCAAGTAGAGAAGAATTCAGAGTCAATTATAATGCTATGGTTACAGCCAGAGAAGGTGAATTTTAGGGGAGAGAGAGTTGTGCTGGGGCATGCTGCTCTTGCTCCAAAGCAGTTCTGGTTTTGAGAGTTAAGTCCTGCTTTGCTGAATTTCTTTCACTAAATTCATGCAGCTTGGGCAATGGGGAGAATACAGTGCTTCAGTTCCTTCTGTACCAAAAGGATGCCTGCAGGAGATGGCAGCTACACTTAGCCACGTGGAAGTATAAGAACTGCACCGCAAGAGAAGGAAGGAAGCTGTTGTGTGGAACTTTTAAGACCAATACATATGGAAACCTGGTCATGTTTGGTTTATCAACTCTAGGTGGTAGTTGCTTCCTCCTGATCTCCCCAAAACAGTGCCCTTCTGCCCCTAAATCTGAACCGGGTCATTCTTGTCCATGCTGTCCTGAATTGAGAAGTATCATCACCTTGCCGTGTCCCCTCAGCACAGTAAACTCTTAGATTCCCTTGCTGTGGAAAATGCTGAAAAGTGCACAGTGGGAGAAGGCAGGCAGAATAGCAGCCAGTCAAGGTAAGCTAGAAGATGGCAAGAAGATGGCCTCTGTCAAGGTTCCTTTCCCACTATGAACTCTAGGGTACAGATGTGGGGACCTGCATGAAAACCTCCTAAACTTATTTTTACCAGCTTGGTTAAAACTTCCCCAAGGTACAAACTATTTTCCTTTTTCCCTTGGACTTAGATGCTTGGTGGTGGCAGCAATAAACAGATATATAACCGGGAAAGAGCCTGCTTGGAAACATCTTTCCCCCCAAAATCCTCCCCAAACCCTTACACCCCCTTTCCTGGGAAAGGCTTGATAAAAATCCTCACCAGTTTGCATAGGTGAACACAGACCCAAACCCTTGGATCTTAAAAACAAGGAAAAAGCAATCAGGTTCTTAAAAGAAGAATTTTAATAGAAGAAAATAAAAGAATCACCTCTGTAAAATCAGGATGGTAAATACCTTACAGGGTAATCAGATTGAAAACAGAGAATCCTTCTAGGCAAAACCTTAAGTTACAAAAAGACACAAACAGGAATGTACATTCCATTCAGCACAACTATTTTATCAGCCATTTAACAAAACAGAATCTAACGCATAGCTAGCTAGATTACTTACTAAGTTCTAAGACTCCATTCCTGTTCTGTTCCCGGTAAAAGCATCACACAGACAGAGCCTTTGTTTCTCCCCACCTCCAACCTTGAAAGTATCTTGTCTCCTTATTGGTCATTTTGGTCAGGTGCCAGCGAGGTTATCCTAGCTTCTTAACCCTTTACAGGTGAAAGGGTTTCCTCTGACCAGGAGGGATTTTAAAGGTGTTTACCCTTCCCTTTATATTTATGACAGCCTCTTTCATGGATTTACCTACCCCAGAGAGACCATGTAGAATCTGGATAAAAAGGTAAATTAGAGAGGAATTTGCACAGCCATATAACCTCATTATACACAGGGATCTATGTGAGGTTATGGCTATTCCTGGTTGAAGGAATGTTAATCTTTTTTTTAAAGAAAGATTTTGAAGAAAAATCTGGAGGCTCTATTAAAATAAAATACAACTAAAAATCACTCCATTTGTTCACTTGATTATAAAAGCCTCTGATAGTTTACTGTTAATTACATTTCATTCTCCCGTTACTTCATTAAACATTAGAATGTGCTTACCAAAGCAGGAAGGTTGATGTGGATAGTTAGCCGACTTCAAAGTGAGTGAGTTAATTGAGTCCACATGAAAGTTAATCATATTACCTCTTTGACACCAGTTCAAGGTTATTTGACTCTCTTTTCAGGGGTTTATGCCTGAGTTGGAGTGCCGTCAGACATGAACAAAACAGTTGGTCATAGTATCACCAAAGTAGCAGTGTGGGATGTCTCTAATTCTTCTTATGTAGGCAGTGCTGGGACACATTTCCTTCATCTGTTTTTATTGTTTTGTTTTTTGCAAAGGGGTGGGAAGGAAGGTTGAAATCTTGTACTTCTTCTTGCAAATGGTGTGTGCTACCATAGGCAAAGGATGCTATTGTGATACTGCCAGTCCCATATGTACACTAGGACTAACAATGATGAAACTGCTCTAGTGGTAGTGAAAAGGCTGGCTAATGCAGTGATAACTTTTGTAGTAGGGAAGCCTTCCAGCTTTTCATTTGATATTGTACTAGTCATATACTCATTCTAGCGAATATTGGAAAGCTGTGCGAGTGTTTTTACTGGAGGGCATACATTCAAGTTATTTTTTACTCTGGTATAAAGCAAGTAGACAAGAACTGTCATGAGGGAAAAGAATGTCATGTTTTGATTAAAGTTTATATGACAGATGAAGCACTTGTTGGACATGTCTGGCTGGAAAGGTTAATTCAAACTGCTCTTTGGGCCAGAGTAAGTGACAGGCCTTGAGGCTGGAAGACCATGGTGAGGACAAGGCTGGATCTCATCTCATCTTCATAAAGTACAAATTCTCTTTTCTTTTCTATATCTGTTCTCCATTTTGTTCCAAAAGAAGAGTGTACAATTCTTTTTACATTACATGTTTTCTGTGTTTTAGAGTTATGCAGTTAGCACAGTGTGTTTTATTATAATTTTCACATTCTGTCAACTACTTCTTCCATCTATAGGCTGCTGAAACTTATGCTGGAGCAAATGCAGCTTGTGAGCCAAGAAGCCATATCTGTATCTCCTAATAGCTCCACCCATTTCTATGCCAAGGGCATCACTAATTCACCTGCTTCCCTCAGATCCTTCAGTTTAGCTTGTATTTGTAACAAACATATTTTAAACAAACACCATTCACCGCACCCTCCTCTCTCCACAAAGTATGAAAAGGAAGTGGGGGAAAAGGTCTTAAAATAGTGTGTGCCAAACACACACGCCCAGTACCTTTGCTTCTGTATCCTACCTTTCCCTCACTATTCACCCCTCCCCTACACAAACACTTTGTGTATTTAGATTGCAAGTTTTTCAGAGGCTTTGCCTTCCTTCATTTAAGTCATGCACTATGCCCAATAATAGTGCTATATAAAGTATAATTCATAGTTGACCGCACTGGAATTTACCAACATTCTTCTGAAGAATAGGAATTTACCAACATTCTTCTGAAGAATTAGAAAGAGCATTCTACAGTTTCTAGTCCCTTCTGTTGCTAATGAGTGGAGAATATGGAAGTAGAGACTGAGAAATATGAAAGTAATTTAGTGAGTATTGTACTTGAACAAAGACAAGATATTTAGATTAAGTTGAAACAGGACAAAAGCTGAACAGGCACAACACTGGAGAAGAAGGTAACCACTGCTTATCACTACGAAAGGTTTTTTCTCCTGCTGATAATAGCTCACCTTAATTGATCACTCTCATTATAGTGTGTATGGCAACACCCATTTTTTCATGTTCTCTGTGATATATATCTCTTCCTACTGTATTTTCCACTGCATGTATCCGATGAAGTGGGTTTTAGCCCACGAAAGCTTATGCTCAAATAAATTTGTTAGTCTCTAAGGTGCCACAAGTACTCCTCGTTCTTTTTATTGCAATAATGCTATCCTTCAAGTGCCATATGTGATACTATCATTATCTTTAAAATATGGCCTGGAGGTGCCAACTGAGCTTAGTACCCCATTGCACTAGCAGCCACTATATAAGCAGATAAGAGACAGTTTTTGACTTACAGTCCAAATAGAAAATACAAATTGGGGGAAGTTTTTGGCAGAGCTGGGAAGTGAACCCAGATATTCTGAGTCCCAGCGCAGTGCCTTAACCATAAAAGGCCGTCCTTCTTCTCTAATGTACCCTTGGGAATTATACGGATATAATTAATTAGTGGAAGAGGAGAGGTTTAATCAGGAATTTTATTGAAAATATTAATACTAAATCAGCCAATGCTGACAGAACAAGTGGCTCTTTGAGAATCTTGCTGGATAAAGTGTGTATATGTGGGAAACCTTCCAGGTTATAACCAGACAATTGTAATTTAGGAATAAGGGTTTGTTAAGGCAACTGTTAAGGTTATTTAGAAATTAGGACTAGCACATGAAAAGTGTCCAGACAAAAAAGCATTCATACTTTCAGAATTTTGAATAACTTGTAACAAGAAGGTATATTTATGGGAGTACAGGACTCTCCCATTTTGGGTTGTTTATTCTCAGCTTTACTTTTTTCTATAAAGTGCTTGAAACTATCCACTGATTAATTGAGGGACACCAGCAGAATATTCAACTTTTCATGTTTTTTTTTTAAACTGGAGTTTGTGTATAAATCAAGTGTTCTCAGTTTACTTAGTCTCTCCTTGAGCTTATATTTAGTGCAAAATGAAGTAATGCCTAATTAATAATAAAAGGGGAAATTTAAATTTAATCTAATCTAATAATTAGTCTGGCAAAAAAGGTTTAATGTCTAAATACCCCTGAACTCTGTTTGGGATATTTTGTAACTCCTGTTCGGGTAATAGGAGACCTCTTTTGGTAGCTTGCCAGCCCAGGAGGAAAGCAAAGTAATAAGTGGAGGAGAGAGTTAGTCTTTACAGTTGGAGGAATGTAAGTGAGCATAGTTATTTCAAAAGTAGGTGGAATAACCAGGATAGTATGGCTGAAAATATCACAAAATAAATTAAGGGTTCACTAGGTCATGCACTGTCCTTGAAATAAGTAATATGTGTTAATGTGGGATGTCTGATCACAACTTAATCTCTATCAATTACTATAATTTACAATTTTACATATTTTGAAATAACACTGTTTGCTGTGTGCATTATTTGTAGATTTACCAAAACTGTTCCTGTATTGGGATGCCAAAAAGATTACTTGACGCAGAAGAGGTCCCTTTTGAGGCTCTGGCTGGGAAATGCCGAACACGATGCACGTTCTTGCCTGTATTCCTGGGCTTTTTCTTTTTTGCTGTTGTTTTCACTTTTATGGCTGTTACTCCAACTACTGTGGCCATCCTCAGGTATTTGGTTTTCATACTTTTCAACAACATATTCCTGGCTCCACAGCAGAGTATAAACATAGCATGGCATGCTTTCTTCTCCAGACCTGAAGAAGAGCTCTGTGTAGCTCAAAAAATTGTACCTTCTACCAACAGAAGTTGATCCAGTAAAAGATATCTCACCTACATGCATCCGATGAAGTGAGCTGTAGATCACGAAAGCTTATGCTCAAATAAATTGGTTAGTCTCTAAGGTGCCACAAGTACTCCTTTTCTTTCTGCAAATACAGACTAACACGGCTGTTACTCTGAAACCTGTCACCTACGTTGTTGCTCCCAGTGGGAAGGAATGTAACTATTCTGACAACTTGCAAAATAAAGATTAAGTCGTTTTTATTCTTTTTATACAGGATCAGCTCTATAATCAAAATATGTAAGGAGTGCTTTGCACCCCCGTCTGCTGCTCCCTAGACTCTAATATCACCGTGTAGTGTATAACCAGTTTTAAGCAGGTTAAGCCCTTTGAACATTAGATGAAGAGATTACTGTCATCTGTAGATTCTCTACTTTTTCACAACACCTTTTCTCTTATAAAAATAGAAATAGCTTCCTTTCCACTTGGTGGCACTACTTGTAGCACAAGGTTCCTTTTTAAAGGGCAGATCACACTCCATCAATATGAGAGGAAAGCTAAAGTCTGTTTATCCTTACACCATCCATAATCTCATTTTTGATGAAGCACCTGGCTTTTCCTGCCTCACTGAGACATGGAGTGCCGCGTCCAACCCTATCTGAACACAGCTAATCTTCCCATCTGTACGTTACAAGCCAAGACAGTATCCAGAATGCACCAGATAAGAGAAAGTGGAGTAAATCCTGTTCCCCTCCAGCCCCTGATAGTGAAGACATTTCATACCAGAAACAAAAAGTGCATTCATGTGGTCTGTGAGGATGCAAAAGGACAAAAGGAATTTAGGAATTATATTGGTTTACAGACCTCCAGGTGAAAACCTCATCAACTTCCTGGATGAACTCTCAGATTACTTGTCTTCAATTATCTCAATGTTCACATGGACAATCTCAATGATACAGTAGTACTTTGATCTCATGACCTATACAGAACCCATCAGATTCTTTCAGGTAGTCTCTGACCTATATATGTAACCATATATGGTATGTATGTTGAATCCTGTCTTCCAGCTAGGACTGCATATTGGAGATATCACCAGCATACCTCTCTCCTGAGCTGATCACCACCTCTTCCAGGCAGAGATCAAAGCCTTCCTGCTTTCCTTTTTTCCTATCAGGATAGAGAGCAATCAAAATTGATTTTCCCCCAAAGACTTCTGAACTCCCTAAGTTTTCAAATCTCCTTAGAACAAGTAACCCAAATACAAGGCCAAGGTGCTGATGAGTTGGTACAACAGTACAAATCACCTGTTGACTTTTACCATCAATGCTTTGGCCTCTCCTCCTCCTTCCCAAACTGACCAAGAAAAATAGTATGCTTCACAGGTGAACTACTGCCAGTGAAGTTAGAGTACCAGTAGTACAAAAGACACTGAGTCCCTCTGCTAGCACACAAACTGTACCGAACTTCACCACTGAAGCAAAGGAAGCAAAATGAGCCTCATTCTCTTCAATCAGCATGGCAGAATTGGAGCCAGCAGAACTATTTCTCATAGTTCTCACATATTTCTCATTGAACCAGCTAATCAACCCAGATTGCATAACTCAAATACCAGACCCAAGCATCAACCACTTTGAAGAGCTGCCAACATACTTCATTGATAAGATGGAATGGAAGATGATGATATTCATGCTGTCCACCCTATTATGTCATCAAACTGGTGACCAAATGTTGATTGTCAACTTCCCCATCGAAAGACCAACAAAATACACCTACCCGTTCAGGGCCAATGTACTAGGCAGATTGCTCTAGGGTAGAGATCTGCCCATTGAATGTTGAAGGCCTTTCACAGTCTATATGCGGCTTCCTGGAGAAAGTGCTGAAGACGAACAACACCAACATCCTCTCCCTCCAGGAGACCCATATTGCAAATGAAGAAAAAGACCATTGCTATAACATCAAGAGCTATAAACTTATAGCCAACAATTACCACCCAAAATATGGGCTGGCAATCTACATAAAGCAAGAGATCAATTAATATTTGGTCCTACCTCCTACAGAGTACAATGAAACAACTGGAATCTCTGTGTACATTGACAAGCTTACTGTTCTTAACATATATACATCAGCTCTGCCAACTGCATAGGATCTATGCAGAAAATGTTGCAGACGAAGAACTGACACACTGGGCATCGGCAAATGATATGCTCCACCTTTTTGGATGCGAAACAGTATGTCACTTTCCACTCTGCAAGATGGGGCAGAGGATACTGCCCTGACCTGATGTTCATTTCTAAAGAGACTTTTGACCATTTTCCTGTGCACCTAATCACCCCTGCAAAGAAGAACAACTCCCATGGACAACTCATTGTACACCGGTGTTTCTCAGCAACTGGTCCATGGACTGGTGCTGGTCCCTGAGATCACCCTGATATAGTTTAGCAAGCTGGTCCCTGGTATCAAAAAGGTTGAGAATCACTTTTGTACACTCCTTTCTGGACTTTAGAGATCCAAGATCTCTTCTGAAAATATGACGTGTGTAGGGACCCAGAAATTGTAAAATCTCTCCTGGTATCACTGGATGTAGCAAGACGGAAACTGTGGCTCAAACAAACATGCCTGGAATCTGTTGAGACATCTGGGGGCTGCAAATCCCACACATGCCACTAGGTCGCAGTTGAAAGTCAATGCCATTGCTGCTAAACTTTTGTGGACATCAGAACAGCCAGTGGATAAACAGTATTACAGACAAGTCCGGCATCAACTCTAGCAGGTGTTCACATGTGCTTCATTGTCCCAATGGTCTGGATTATTCACAAGAAGGAGATTGATCCAGCCATTGCAGCCATGAAACTGGGAAAAGCAGTGGGAAAAAGAGGACATCTACCACAAGTTCCTATGTAAGCTGGGTTCAGTGGCATGGAATTGACTGATGCAAAATTTCACCAACATCCTGGAGACTGGTAAAATTTGCTGCTTGTGGAGAGAAACACTCCTAAAGCCTGGAAAATCTGTGGATGACCCTTCTAGTTATAGGCCAATTTCCCTCTTGAGCACCAGCTACAAGGTGATGGAGTGTATGATTCTGAACTAAACTGGGACCACATTTCAAAGACTTCCTCTTTTGAGAAAGTCTTCCACCATAAGTGACACTCAGAATTTGAACATCCTTCTTGTTCCCAAATCCCTGCCATACACACAGTCTTCCTACCCTACCCCAAGCAGACTCCTGATCCCATAAAGGGAGATATGCTAAAGACTCCTAGAAATCCTCTGAGGACTTTGTGTTGCTATTGATTTTTATGTGGAAGGTGCTCTAATTCTGTGATGATGAGTGGCAGTATAAAATTCTAAGATAGGTACGTGCATGTTAACCACAACTCGGTTGTCTTGCCAGTCTCTGAAACTCAGATGGTCTTTGATCCTGAACACACTGTGCTAGAGACCCACTAGATTCCAAATTAATAGGTCGTCCTATAAATGTGTGGGGCTTACCTTCCCATTGAAATGAGACTTCATTAATATCTCGTTAAAGCAGCTGTTCACCCATGCAGAGCTACAATATGGATGTTACTAAAAGTCATAACATTCAGAGCATGATAATTGCATCCCTGTTATACAACTTTTAAAGCCTCATGCCCAAATTTAGAAACAGTGCATTCACATTTTTACTATTTAAAGCTCACAAGTTACTTTAAAAGCACACCTACTTATAGAATAACTTTTTATACCAGAAAAAGTACTATTGTAAAGCTGAGATAGTGGTTTAACACACTGCACTGTATTATCATGCTTCATTGCATTGACCATCTGTTCTTGATGCTCCAGTGTGAGTCCACATGGAAGTTGCATTGACAATTTGATTGTGTTAGTCTGGAGGCAGAGAAAGGGCAGCTGTGTTTGGATTGGGGAGAATAAGGGGAAAGCAATATTTGGTGTTTGTAGCATCATACTTCTCAAAAATTACTTGAGATTGCTCAAAGCCTGTCCCTTTCAGTCGTCAGTGATATAGATTTTACTGGGATGCTGGACTGTTAGCAGTAAGGTTCAATTAAAATGGTTTATTTATTATGCTTGCTGCTGCTTTTTGTGTTACCTTATGTAATGCAATATGCTGATGCAAGACAAAAATCTACAAATAAGTGCAATATCTACTGATTATACATTTAAGCATTAAAAAAAAACCCTATACCAGTGTTTCCCAAACTTGGGACGCCGCTCGTTCAGGGAAAGCCCCTGGCGGGCTGGGCCAGTTTGTTTACCTGCCGCGTCTGCAGGTTCAGCCGATCGTGGCTCCCACTGGCCGCGGTTTGCCGCTCCAGGTCAATGGGGGCTGTGGGAAGCAGCACGGGCCAAGGGATGTACCAGCTGCCGATTCCCACAGCCCCCATTGGCCTGGAGCAGCAAACCGCAGCCAGTGGGAGCTGCAATTGGCTGAACCTGTGGCCATGGCAGGTAAACAAACCGGCCCGGCGAGCCAGGGGCTTTCCCTGAACAAGCGGCATCCCAAGTTTGGGAAACGCTGCCCTATACTATGTACTTAAGCATAGTCCCCTGCCGCATCTCCACTTCATTATGGTTAACCAGGACATAAGTAATGTGTGTGATCTTGAGCTGAACCCCTTGCTTTGATTATCTTGTGTAAACACATTGAGAAAAGGACTATGATGATTTCTCCTGCCAAAGCTCTCTGTACTTTATTGCAGAAAACTAGTATAGTATATAATGCATAATGATATATTATGCAAGTTGATTTTTGTCTCTTCTGTCAAGTAAATTCTATTTAAAGTTTTTAGGTTGTTTAGACTCCAGATATAGACCAAAAGTATTAATAGATAATGTCAATGACTGACTTTTTCAAAAGTCCAAGTGTAACTTACCAAGATGAAAAACATCAGTTTAAGGTAAATTTATGTTTGATAAAGCCCTTAAACTGCAATTTTGTTTGCAGGTGTGTGCCAGATAAACAGCGTTCATTTGCTCTGGGAGTGCAGTCAGTGTTTCTACGATTAGTAGGTATGACATTTATTATCTGTTGCTTAAATACCTGTCCCAGCATAAAATGTCTAATTGGGAGACTTCCTTTTCAAATACTCAGATTGACTAATTTTAAAGAACATATGTATGAATGAATTTGTTGCAGTCTCTCTGTCTGAAAGATCAGGCCAAACTCAATCTCAAAATAGCTTAGAATTCATCATAGGAATTCAAATGTGGTACTTTACTCATTTTTAGCATTGATGCTGTCTTCTCTATAAATAGTTGTGCAAAGAGGCTAAACAGGTATGCCAAAGGAAATGAATCCCAGCTGCAGAAGAATAATATTTAAACTTGCATTCTGTTAACAAAAGCAACCCCACTCCTCCCCAAAAAAATGCAACTCCATTCTTTGAAAATTTTCAGGGATTTTAAGACTCCACCAGTCAAAAATTTGGTGACTCTGTAACATTTAACTTGATGATATTGAGTTCCTTTAGCCATGTTTGTTACATAATTTAACACTGATGAAAATGACAGCACCTTAGAAGTTACAAGTAAAATGGTAAAGAATATATGAAACCTGCTGCAGTGTTTTGTGTATTTATTTCTAAAGGGCATGTATGTACGTTTTAGAGGTCTGGCAGATAGATAATTTGCATAATGTAGTCATTCATTTAAAAACCCCTTTTAAATAGTCTTTGCTGACTTTCTATTTTCTTTATTAAATTATTTTTTGGGGGTAATTGATGTCAATGCAGAAACAGTGAGACATGCCAGAGTATGGTTAAATGTGGAAGACGCAACTTTTACAAACTATTACACAGCAAAGAACCTCTCCAAGTACTAGCAAGTTCTACAAACCTGAGGGTGGGTATGAGCGCATTGCTCCCCTATACTCCAGGCTTGCATGAGGACCCTGGCAGGAAGCCAGTGTCCCAACCCATTTACCTCATCAACACTGGAGGTAGGAGAGAAGATGAGGGGCGCTCTACCCTGCATGAGACATGGAGGCATAGCCTCTTTCCATGTGATGTTGTACTCAGGGACTGTTGTAATAACTGAGTCTACAAATTTACTTTAATTATAAACTCAGCTGTAAAAAGTAAGTGAAAGTTCATAAAGTGTCACAGCCTTTCAAATTAATGTTGATGGGAAAAGTTGCAAAAGGGAGATGGAAAAACTAAATTAATGCAAACAAAAAGACCTACTAATATAATTCAAGGACTGTGTTAAAATCATGTCTGGTAAACAAGACAGTGGGAGTGGGAGTTAATGAACCAAAACTGGTGTGTTGGAAACTAGTTCTAATTGATGGATAAAATAATGAGGGAATAGGCTGTTCCATTCACAACTCCTTTTTGAGTCCTAAAAAAAAAAAAAAAAAAGATTTTGGGGAGAAAAATCGGCTACTCGAGCAAGCTTCATCATCTGGCTGCCACCCCCAATGTCTCCTAGGATCCAGGTCCTTCATCATTCTGATCCCAAAAAGATGTCCTGACCAGCCCAGCCCCTCCCAAAACACCTCCCAAATAACATTGCTCCTGCTACCAGCTCTAGCTAAATGTGAAATGCTACCTAGAATAAGATGAAATAAGAATTTAACAGACACCACAACTGCTCCAACCAAGCTCAGCTAACTTTTCTCCCCGCCCCCAACAGACAGTTATCTTTAATAACTTCTAATAGACTGTTGCCAAGGAATCCCCCCCCCCCCCCAAAAAAAAAACAACCTGTGCTTCTCAGAGAATAGGGGAGTGAAAAGATGTGATAGAATGGAGATGGCTAGTAAAAATAGCATCAAGGAATTGGGGTTCCCTTCCCCCCACCAGGTAACTGTTTACTGAGCTACATTTCTTAAGATCAATACACCAGATCGTTTGGAACTGGAGTGATTGAGAGTACATGTGTGATACAGTGTTCAGTTATATATTGTACTGTTTGTTGTCACTTAGGAAAATCTGTTTCCAAAAACCCTGTCCACGTCTATCATGTGAAAGGGTATAGCTTATGTTTCTACATGAGCACTGTCAGGATTGATTGTTTAATTAAAACACTAATTTTCATAATGAATGAAATACCTCAAAGGGCTTAAAATCTGTACATATTGGATCCCTAACGTATAGCCGCCTCTTGGGTGGGAGGGGACAACAAATGAGCACACAATATTGCAATGGGAAAGAGAGTAAATATTGATCAAGGACACTAGGACAAACTCCAGTTCTTATAAAAAGTACTGTAGTATCTTTAGCAGTCACACGGAGCAGATGGCACCTTAGTTTTTAAGGTGTTCTTTGCAAGAATGTACAGCAAGTTGCATGGTCCTCTCTCTATCTCAGAAGACCAAAGGGCTAAAACAAGCTGATGAGATTTGAATGTCTGGTTCTATAATTTAGCTACACCACACTTGATGCTTCAATCATCAACTTGACCCACCATCTTACTCTGTGAATTCTGCTGATTCAGTTAAGACTCTTTCAATTATCTTTGTACACTTGTATCTCTTCTAGGCACTATTCCTGGACCAATTTTGTTTGGTGTGGCAATAGACAGTAGTTGCACTCTGTGGGATGTTAATAAATGTGACATTAAAGGAGCCTGCTGGGTCTATGACAACTCAAAAATGGCCTACATGCTGATTGGTATAAGTAAGTGACTGCATATTTGATATGTACATTACACAAATGAGTGTTAATCTTTAATAGCAAAAGGCATAGCTATTTTGAATTTCACTGCCAGGTGACAACTGAGTAAGAAAATAGTCTAATAAGACTATGTAATAAGTTTACATAGTACTCAGCACTTTGCAAATAGATAAGACAAGTTTCATCTTCTGAAGGAACTACTATTTACATAAGACATGACAGTCAAAAACCAGGCAAGACACAGGACAACAATTTGGTAGGAAGTTTGTGGGGATTCTTGACAATTAAAATAAATGAGGAGGGATTGTTTGAAGAGTTAGGTTTTTAAAGGTAACCTGAAATGGAATTTTTTTCTTAGGTGGTTTGTGCCCTTTATAGCTTCCTTATGGATGAACAAGAGCCTGAAATATAGTAGGATTTGTGTGGTTGCCCTCCACCTTCCCCCATTTTTTTGGGGCAGGAGGGGGTTTCCTCTTGCTGACTTCCCTAGTTTAGCTGGACGATTTTTAGAGGCATCAGATAAATATTGGCATTTTCTCACCCTGTAGTTATAATTAAACTTTTAACAAATACATATATTTTCTCCCCAGTGTTAGTTTGGCATTGCAGTTGAATGAGAGTTCCAAAGAAGAACAAAAATAGACCTTTGAAGATTCTGACTAAAAGTCATTTCACCTCTCAATTAAAAGCTTTTCATCTGATTTTTTTAAAGGTACTCAGGTACCTTTTGACTTCAATGATAGCTGCAGGTGACCATCCCCTTTGGCAATGAGGCTACCTATTTAGGTGTTTAAGTTTAACTACCAATATTTGAAAATTAAAGAAACAAAAACAAAAAACCAAACCCTCCCCACCAACCTTAATACCTTTCAAGCATTTTCTTTTTAAGCTATTGATTTTATTTAGGAAGTTTTATCAAGTTTACAAATCCTTGCCCTATAAATGACAGAAACAAAACCATCATTACATCAGCTAAGTCTTGTCTATACAATGTCTCTTTAAACATCAGATCTTCCTATTTAACAAGGTATTACCATCATTATGACATTTAGATCAGGCATATCTATCAAATGTTAAGTAAAAAAAAAAAGTATGTGGTTTTTTTTGGCAGGTGAATAAATTTTGAGTATTGAATAAAAAGTAACCAAATATCTAAATATCTATCGGTTCTCTGTCTATTTTGCTGGGAATATGATTAGTGTGTTAATCTGTGTGTCTCCGTGACTTCCACCTCCCATTTTTAAAAACCGTTCCTCTATGGTTTGGCCTTTTTTCTTTTCCAATGAGATGGTACTGGTAGCCAACCAGCTACCAACAGGTGACAGAATAATTTTTCATTTCTTCTAGTGTGACCATTCCCACTAGAGAGCTGCAGGAGGAGTACTAACAGATCATTTGGTAATAACTATCCAACATTTAATATTTGATTACGGATTATATCCCAGGATGCATAAAATCTCCTTTTTCACCACAATTTCTTCGACATTTATCCCTATTCAGTCTGTCTATATTTTTTAACCTGAGTGGTGTGAGGTACCATTGAAACAGTATCTTCAAGAAATTTTCTTTTATTTTGCTACAGACTGAGGTTGCTGGTCCTCTTTTCCAGATCAAACCTCATTCCTCTGGGATAATTTCCCTGTTCAGGTGCTTTCTCCCCCCCCCAGTGTGTCAAATATGGACTTTTTTTCTTAGAAAAATTGTCTGCAAAGATTAATATAAATTAATCTTATTTTCCTAATTGACCAGATGCCATTGCTTCTAAAGTTCACTTTTTAGAAAACCTGTTTTATACATAAAGCTGAGAAACAAAGCCTGACTTGACAGTACTGGTATCATGGGAGAGTGGGCCAGTTAAAGTTAGTTTTGATCTCTAAATAAGTTAGACAACTTTCTCTCCTGAATAGCTGGCCAACTTTGTGTGCCCCATTGTTCTAATATTTGAAGCTCTCTGCTTCATGATTTGGATTGCGATCTGGATTACATTGTACATCAAGAGGAGTGAGGAAAGAAAAAGAGCATTGACGCAATAGTTTTCCCTTTGCACATCACCTTTAAGGAGGGAACTGAGGGAGGAAATAGAGGACACTTGATGAATGAGGACATGAAGCTAAGAATTGGAAAACATGGTGAGCAGGAAGTCAAAAGACCTGTGAAGAGTGTACTTGAGAGGAGGATGTGTATTCAGGAAGATTATTCAGAACATCTTAAATGAGAATGAGTTTCAGTACAGTGCAACAGGTGACAGGAAACCAATGAATGGACATAATCTGGGGCATTGTAGTTAAAGCAAGAAGGGAAGATTTTATTGTCTTGAACAATCTGGAGTAGAGGAGGAGAACAGAATTCCAATGAGTATTAAAGTTCTCACAGCAAGCGAGGACCAGAGGGCAGATGAAGGACCTGATCCAAAGCTCCTGGAAGTCAATGGAAAGACTCCTGCTGTTTTTAAGGGTCTTTCGATTAGCTATGTGGGTTAGCATGCTTTCTGCCATCAAGGGTACCATAGTATGGAGCCAAGTTTACAGTAAGACTTAACTAAGAAGTAAATATTTTTAGTTCTTTGCTTTATACCTTTGTGGCACTCTTATGAACTATGGAGTCACACATTTATAGCTTCCATAGGCCAAATTCATTGCACTCATTAGGAGATCATTACATCCCTGCATTTCCCCTTACATTCCTCTGTGTATGAGGCTCTGTATGCCCCCTCACCGCCCATTATTATTTGTTTGGGAGATAAGTCATTCAAGTCTCAACATATTAAATTCTATTGGGAGGATGAACAGTGATGAGACAGGTATTGTTATAGGAATTAATGGGTGCTGTGGGCCAGGTGTTTGATCTGTAGACCGTTGCAGAGGTGCTTGAAGCTCGGGCTGTGCTGAACAGATGACAGGGTCTCCAGATGTCCCCACCTTTTGGTTGTCTGATTTCCCCCCCCAAGTCAATAGTTTTGTAGTCATTGATATCTAGATAATTTTGAAATTGATCAAATGAGATGTTCAAAAGTTATGGCATAAGAGACAGAGATGCCATCAAGTTGAATGTAAAGCTTTCACAAGCGCTGTCAAATAACATTAACTACATTTATTGAAAATTGATCTTCAACAATAAACAATTTCACTTTTCTTCACATAAAGGTGCAGCTTGTAAAGTCATCACTATCCTTTTTACTGTCATTGCATTCTGCTTATATAAACCGCCACCAGACAGCTCTGCGACTTTGCAAAAGGATGCTGAAATGGTGTCTGCTGTGCACATGTGAAACTGTTATGAGAAAACCAGGAACTTTAAAAGAAACCAAGAATATACACAGCTACTGAAAGATAAGCTGTCAGAGAGCTTCATTTGCAAGTGCAGCATTATCTGAACTTGATTTAGATCTTAAACAGCTTTAAATGATTTTAAATATTGGTGGATATTTTGTGTAACATTAATTCAAACTGAGGAAATTTTATATTTCAACAATGTATCCCAATCAAAACTACTGTAAATAGAGGAAATGTCTTACAATTCATTGAGTTAAGCAAATTGCAATATTATCAGTAGAACACAAGAAAGAGGACATAAAAAGCTGAACTGGAATACCAAAAAAACGTGAATAATTGTTACTGCCTATAAAGGCAACGGTACACCCTAAGAAGACAGACTTTAGGACAACAAAATAGTAAATGGGTGTGTTAAAGGGAGCTGTCAATGTTTACTTTAAAATGGTAGGAATAATATGCGCCAATGTTTTGGGCTACTAAACAACATTTAAGGTTTGATTGATGTAAATTTATTTATACTGTAGTTTCTTGAGTAGGGAGAAATAAAAAAACAGGCACTTTGTTTTCTAAATCTATTTTGTACAAGTTAGGTTAAAAGTTTAAATTGTGATTAAATTTGTAATCTTTACTTTTTTCCTACAAATATATTTAAGAATAGTTTTCATTATAGGAAAATGAACAAACTTGTAATTAATAAACATTTGTTCAACTGGGTGCCTTAGTATTTGAATTCAGACTATATCCAAAAGGATGATGTCAAAATATTCTTGTTACTTTTTTTTTAGAAAGATTCATCTCTCATAATATACACTCTGGAAATTAAAATGAAATCTGTTTTCTTAAAATGTTTTACTTGTTAGATGTGTGCTAGCTCATTATTTTGAGGTTACTCCTAAGTGCTTCTGCACTAATTATTTTCCAAAAAAGGGATTTAATTATTTTTGTTGAATACAAATGAACAACGAAAGACTATACAAACACATTGATAGAAGAAAGTACATCCAGCCGAGGCCTTGCAACCTTGAATAAACCTTTAAAATAATAGGATGTGTATCTGTAGAAAACTTAAAATAAGGTGTACATGTCTTAGTAAACAATTTTTTAGTGTTAAAATTTTATTACATGCAAATCTATTCTATTTAAATATTGTTTAACTGCTGTGAAATAAATCTATTTTTAAATCTGGTATATAATGCTGTTTTTTTTGTAAATGCATATGAGATGTTATTTGCTGGCTTCAAAGGTGCTGCTTAACTTTGAAGTACCAATAATGAATTGCATCTCCTCCTCCTACGTAACTATGTGCGTTTGTGTACTTTCTGTGTCTTGGTACTATGATGGGTACACTGACCCTTTGGGATTCAGAGGAGGAACACTTTTGTGTCAACAGCCCCTGCCACCCTGCGCTGGATCCTGGGGAAAGAAACCCACTTACCCTTTCTTATGGGCCTTTATCAAAGACCACTACTAGTTGGTAAATAAGAGGGTTTGTTTGGCAGATGGAACCTATTAACCTGCCACTGAGTAACCATGTAACCTGGGACTAGCCAGGCATCCACAACTAAGGACTGTAGCTCAGAGAGCTGGAAAGTGTAATTCTTTGCTTTAGACTAACTCTTAAAGACACAGAAATGGAATCTGGAATCCAAGATAGAAGATCCACCATGAGACCCTCTGTTTTCTGTTGGACTATTCTATTAAAATAAACACAGCAACCAGGAATGTGATATATGCCATCATGTGCCAGCAATGCCCCTCTGCCATGTACATTGGCCAAATGGGACAGTCTCTAGGTGAAAGAATAAATGGACACAAATCTGACAGGAATCATAACATTCAAAAACCAGTAGGAGAACACTTCAATCTCTCTGGTCACTCAATAACAGACCTAAAAGTGGCAATTCAACAAAAAAAAACACACTTCAAAAACAGACTCCAGTGTGAAACTGCAGAACTGGAATTAATTTGCAAACTGGACCCCATCAGATTAGGTATGAACAAAGACTGGGAGTGGTTGGGTCATTACAAAACCTAAACCTAATTTCCCCAATACTAATTTCCCCCTACTGTTACTCACACCTTCTTGTCAACTGTCTGAAAAGGGCCATTCTCATTACCACTTCAAATATTATTTTTCCTCCCTTGGTATCCTGCTGTCAATTGAATTGTCTCGTTAGACTGACCTCACACCTTTTCATGTACTTATACGTGCTCCTGTATTTTCCACTCCATACATCTGATGAAGTAGGTTCTAGCCCAAGAAAGCTTATGCCCAAATAAATTTGTTAGTCTCTAAGGTGCCACAAGGACTCCTCATAGTTTTTGCTGGTACAGACTAACACGGCTACACTCTGAAACCTGTCAGCCAGGATGTGGAGAAGATACCTTCCACCCCATTTATTAGCCACAAGCATCCAATGTCTTTGTTGGGGGGATGAGAGTGTTTTTGGTCTAATACTTGCCCACAGGATAATGTTTACATAACTTTTTGATTTGCATAATTATCAGTAGGGACCATATGGTCCCTATGTTCCCTTGCACATAGGGTGTGAAGGAGCAAAACCAATTCTGAGCAGAAAAGGGAGAGGCAGGGATGTGCTTGTGGTTAAGGCAGTGGGCTGCGACTCAAGTTCAATTCCCAGCTTGGCTATGGACTGCCTGTGTGAACTTGGGAAAGTCACTGAATGTGCCTCAGTTCCTCATCAGTAAAATAGGGATAATGCTACCTCTCTCCCTCCTGTTTGTCTTGTTTATTTAAACTGTGAGCTCTTTTGGGGCATGAGCTGATGCTTACTATGGATGTGCATACTGCTTAGCAGATTGGGGACATGGCAATACAAGGAATTAACAATAACTAAAGGATAAAAGTGCAGGTGGCTGCACTAGATAAACTTATCAAGGTCCCTTCCAGGTCTACATGTCTATGATTCTGTGAAGCATAGAGGAGAAAGTGGATCACACCTTATATTCCCCTTCTGAGGAAGCTACCTGCACCTTCAGTTGCCATGGGATGAGTTGCCCAGGCAGAGAAGGAAGGAGTTGTACTGCAGATACACAAAGACTCTTTCTTCTCAAAAGTGTATAGCTTGTTGAATATTTAATCATCAGTTGCACTGCAGTAAGTTCCCAGTACGTCATGTGATCAGACAGAGACAGTGCATATGCACTACAGAGGATGAATGAGTAGCAGCCCTCCAGTTCTGCAGTAGTGCCTGAAGTAGCATGGAGACCCAAACTCCATGAGATCCCCCGGGTTTAGCTGTCCTTTTCCTTTTGACCTTGGCTTCCTTGGCCAGGCCCTCTCTACACTGACCCACTTCCATAGTTACAGCTCCACACTTCTCGAGGGGACTGTAAAGTTACCACTCCAAAAGCAGTGGAGCTTTCCTGCTAAGACCTCCTTTTCTGTGTGTTTTTGTGAGGGAGGGGGAAGGATGATCCATTGTTTGAGCTGATTCATTCTTTTATATCTTGCTGTAACTCCCATCTGCCCTCTCCCCATTTGTTGTATCTAAATGTAGATAGTAAACTCTTTGGAATACCTTAACTCTTGCTATCTGTGCTACAAGTCACCTAGCAAACATTTTAGATAAATGTAACACGAAATTTCATTTTTTAAACATGTCACAGATCTTAGTAAGCATCCCCTCCTGGTAACCCACTAGGATTGTTATGAAGGGAACACAAACCGCTGTGCTCTGGACCCCAGGGTATTTCAAGCTCCTAATCTCAGGGACCCTCGGCACACACTCATGGCACAGACCTTTTTTCTGGCATCCCCACCCTCTGAGTGTTGGAGCTTGCTGTCAAACTGCATAGCCCCACTTGGCGCAGTGCTGACCCTTCAGCACTCCCTTCAGATTCCCTACAAACACATCCCTCTCCCAGAACACTATCCCAGAAGTTTCAGAGGAACAGCCGTGTTAGTCTGTATTTGCAAAAAGAAAAGGAGTACTTGTGGCACCTTAGAGACTAACCAATTTATTTGAGCATGAGCTTTCGAAAGCTCATGCTCAAATAAATTGGTTAGTCTCTAAGGTGCCACAAGTACTCCTTTTCTTTTTATCCCAGAAGTGTGAGGCTTCTGGTTTACAGTTTAGCTCTCCTAGGCATGCAGTAGTTCTGAAGCAATCAACACCCATGCACTTTTCCCATCTAACATCTTAATCATGTAAAGCACAGGAAATTACAGATCACACAGCTATACAAAACATCCTAAGCATAAAGTTCCTCATTAGCTCACCCTTCACTTGTGAGTCCTTGGGGGAACCCTCTGTGTTCCATCAGCCAGGCAAGTAAAGTCCTCCACCCCCTTTCCTACCCTGCTACTACCCTTACCATAATCTGGTGCAAAGGGCACTCTTCCCCAGTTCCTCCCTATGAGTCTCTTTATAGAGTGCTGTGGTCACCTGCTTCTTTTCTTCTGCTCTAGGTAACTTCGCATTACTCCTCTCATCTCCTTCAGACAAGAGGAGGAAGTGTCTTCTCCCATCTAGAGTGAACCCATTGTCCTCAGGTGTTTTACTTTGAATGGAGAGAGGATTGACAAGTACTGTTCACTCACCCTTGTCAATGGCCTGGCAGAAATAGGACAACCCTGCAAATGCATGGTGGATCTACATACATATATGCTTTCCATGACAGTAATTTCATTATTCAATTTCATCAAATCATCCACAATTTAGAAGTGGTACAGCCAGAACTCCCTAATCATACCATATGACAATTGACACAGTTGTGTGGCTTGTAAAGGCTGCTTGATGTATCGTGCTTTTTGTTAAGCTGCTTTGATCCCCAAGAAAGGTGAAATCTGCCAAAAACAACTACTTTTTTTTGGTATCTGGAACTTCAAAGTCCCGTAATTTTTGATATATGGGTTCTTAACATAAGATTTCTTAATGAAATAAAAATCTATACTATCTGTAGATATGTTTTTAGGGGCTCTCAAAAATTGTCCAAAATTTGCTTAAATCTGTGGCTATAATTTCTCCAAACTGAAACCTTAAAATTCTGCACAGACCATTTGAAATAGTTCTTGGGGCATATAGTATTTTCTGGTAAAATAAGCACGGTCTTGGACAAAGAATGTTCTTCCTTTCCCTAAAGCAGAAAATAAATTTGTACTTCACAGCATACAATTCTGCACTCTTAGCTCAAGAAAAACCTCATTAAAATCAGTGGAGATTTTACCTGTTATGGCTCCTTATCACTTAAAAAAACCCTTTCAGTCTTGCAAAAGCCAATCTAAACTGTTTTGTACAATAGATAGAACTTAATGTATTGCAAAAATGCAACTTGGTACCTGTTGAAATTACTTAATATTTAAAAAAATATCCAGCTGGTGTCCACAATAATATGTTCCATTTTTATGGTGTTCGTTTGGCATCCAAAGTTACACTTGAAGGGACAATAAAACTGAGAAATAAATTTGGAAGCATTTGTAAAGTCTCTTGTTCAATTTGTGGGATAGGGCACCACCATCAGGAATTTTAAATGGTTGCAATATCTACAGCATGGGGGGAAATTTACATTTTAATTATTTGCCAAAAAAAAAAAATCAAACAGAAAAAAACCCAGTTGTTATGTGCCCATAGTGTTGGCACTTTACACCTTAGGGGAAGAGGATATATGGCTTGGTTTTGAATATCTGAAACCCTAGTGTTACTTTCTCAGGTCGAGTCCCTCCCTTAACTTTAATTAGTAAATGAGGAGAGAAAGCAAGCCTTCAACAGCACTGCTGATTAATTGCTATGTGCTAACACTTTAGCTTCTCCTATGCTTTGGGTTATCTCATCATGGGTCAATTCTAAGAGCACTCCATATATTAAGCCCATCAGTTCAGTCAAATC